TCGACCAGACCGCCAAAGAATTGAGAATCACTTCATTTGACGTTTTCTGGTTTTCACTTATCGAATAGAGTTATCCATTGCTGTCAGTCAAAGAGTTATAGGTTATTTAGTGAATCATGATATTATCGGCATAGATTGTAATAGAGTAATGTTAAGCTTAGCTGTAAATCCACCATTGAGATAACAATTTTAGAAAAAATAACCATTGTGGTTATCTACGACTGCATCACGGACGTGATATAATGTTTAGGCTTCAAATATCAGTTATTGAAAAAGACAGTAATGTAATTTAGCTTTCGAAAGACATGTTAGGTTAAGTTAATTTTTTTCTTAAAAAAGTGCATTTATTGTGTCATGTGCCAATCAGAATAAACCTAAAGTTCACTTAAAAATAAATTTTACTTCATTACAGTCGAGAAAGGTTGGATTCAGTCTGAGTTAAGGTGATTTCTCGGGAAAAAACGCTATCGAACAATTTTGTTAAACTTTCCGCAAATTTTCCTACTGACGATCTGGTTGGATAGGGTCTGACCACGCTTAAAGCACTGATGTCCATGGAATGGAGAACATTACCTGAATTTACTCTTAAGTATATCGAAAATCTCCAGTGTTTGATTCACCTTAATGACTTTGTTGACCAAAGCTCTCTAAGGCCCTTTTCTCACTTATTCGAAACGGCCACAAGAAAATTTACCCTTGGCACTGTGGGACCTTCACATCTTCAAATTCTCAGACAATTTTTAACTCACAACAGCGCATGACAGTCATGTATACCCGCACAGAATCACTGCTACTTAATACATTTAGATAGAGCACTTCCGTCAAGTTTGTTCGAAATACCTCTCTAAGTGTTAAATCAAAAGCTTTGAACTCCATTAGTCTCAGCTCTTCTCGTCGTTGACGTGACTTTTTATGCAAATTTATTCTTAGCTCGAAACATTTAACAAAGCTTAATCTATCACATGACTTGTGATCAGTAAATAGATAACAGTTTGGCTCGAAAGACTCCTCTTTAAACTTTGTTCAGATGAACACGATCGTCGAAAATTAAAAGCAAAGCTTGCTTCCATTTCAAATATACTCGAATATTCAAATTGCCCAAGATAAGCGAAAAAAAACTGCATTTTTCCGTCAACCTAGGACGCTGTTGATCAAAGCTTCTTCAGCGGCGTTAATTAACAATTGGTTCATACGGCAGCGTGCGTTCATCGAGATATGAAGCAAGCGGGAAGTTTGGAGAGCACGAAAGATGCGTAAGAGTTGCTCGAGGCGTAGCCGAGAACAACTCTAGCTTCTTGAGTGCTCTCCAAACTTTCCAAGTGCTTCATATCTCGATGAACGCACAGTTGATGTATGAATCAATTGTTTTATAACATTTTCAACCCGATGGAAATGTTTTTTCTCGAGGGATTTGTTAGCGGACGTCATGAGCGTGCACAATAGGAATATGAAGCACGCTCGCGCAATTGAATTTGATTAGACAAATTTACTAGCTATGTTATATGCGTGCATGATTGCATTTGCTTTTTGTTCGACCCACTTTTGCTAATAACTGATTCTCTAGTAATTCAATTTGGCATTCAAACGCAAATTTCAAATGTCTGTAAATCGCCCGGGAATAGCCTACTTGAGTCGTATCTAAAGGTGTCCTTGAGACAGCTTAAGATCAAGCGATAAGAACGTCTGGGAATGAATAACCATCTGATCGACATGTTCTTTGTTTGGGATTATCATATGAAAGTTTTGCTCAAAGTTTAATTTTCAAACCCATATGTATACTAATTAAAACATCCTCAAACTCCGTTTGGTGCTTTCAGTCGAAGCGACGGCTAACAACAAAATTTTCAAGGCCGAAGAAACACTGAGTAATTCAGATCGTCGTATACAGACCAGAGAAAAAAGGTGTCATTGAAATGTTCAAAGACGAGAAATTTTTAGCGATCTTTTTAAGGTTGTGCGTAAGATGCACCAAACATTTATTTCACGAATTTTGCATTTTCGGAGATAATTTGCATTTGTAGTGCTCAGCTCTATAGTGAAATACTGCTGGGATTCGGAGTAACACAGTAAACCAAATGCAAACCTCATCTAATGTAGTAGTATGTTTCGGGATGACTTGAAAACAATCAGCACTTTCATTAGTCGAGAAATAAAACAATAGAGTCCATGTTCGCGCGCCTAAATATGTTTAAGCCTGATTCAGACTCATTTTTGCCCAAGTCGTTGGTTAAGTTATGCCCTGAGACGACGCCTAACAAATTTATGCCCAAGGACACAAAATGAAATACTGGCAGAATTACTCAGGAGGGCATCGAGAAAATAAGAATTGAAAAAAAATGACCAAAAAAAAAAATCCAAAAATACATTTTCTCCCGCTAAAATCTCCACTTCAGACTGGAATATGTGTCACGATGCCTTAAAAAGCAATGCTTACGTAGTTTCATACAGTTTTGAAAGTGTGATACCTATTTTGATACCTAGTTTATAAACGTATGCGATTATCTACCAAGAATAATAAGTTTGCAACGCAAAAGAATATAAACGCATTCAGTGAATGATTCACGACTTTTATCTTCTGATCATATCATTCTTGTGAGAATTTTTAAGACCGATTTCAAATCGAAAAAAACTTATGGAAGTCAAAGTGAACTAAGATTCAGGCAGAATTTCAACGAAAAAATCAAAACAGATGTAGAGAGTGAAGCATATTAAAGGCAGTCAATACGCCAACTTAATAGCGGAGCTCGCAGAGCGTAACTCCATAATTATACCAAATGGTAGTAGTAATCCATCAAGCCGAAAAAATTTGGACTTATGACCGTACGGGCGTCCGTACAAGGTGCTACTTTTAACATGCGTGGTCAACTGTACCGCGGGCACGCCAACGCCACGGCTTTGTCCAGTAGTCCAGTGGTCAGTGTCGGACGACCTGGGTTCTAGTCCTGGCCGGGGCAAGGCGATGTGCCCTTGAGACGTGCGGGAAAAAAAATGCGAGCTCCGCTTTTAGGCTTGGCTAAATCTATATATTATTATGCAGTCTCGAATATGCAGCCTCTATAGAACACCAATTCTAACTTAAGAACGCGTTATAACAGAGCACAAGGCATATTCATTTGTAAAAAAAAGTGAGCCAGTTTCTAAGTTCTTAAATTCTTGACATGAATTGATGTCATAAAACTAGCGCACCCAAAATCTTTCCAAAAAAAAAAAAAAAAAAAAAAGCATCGCATGCGTTTGCGAAAATTCTCTTCTAGATCTGATATAAGATAATAATTAGAGTGAGATGCATTGAGGCTCAATAAAGATCCCTTGTCTTCGGCTTACCCAGTGACATCTTCAGCGCAGAGATATCAAAAGCCCAAAGAGATATTTTAAAGTGTACGTGCTCAGGGTCTGAGTTTTTTCTTATATCGAATATGGGCGCCTCTATGTTGGCAAAAGTGATTGTGAGTATGAGCAAATTATTATTTACTTTTGTTTTATTTTCCCACAGGCAATTTGAAATTTTTCTTTTAAATGAATTAATTTTTTCTTATGGAGCTTCATTTTGTGCACAATTATTATATGCAAGTCAAGCGATTTTGTTCGTATACCTTTGATTTCGTTTTGTTTTCAGCGTTGTTATTTTACAAAGATACAATGCCAGGTACGAGCTGGCGCTTGACTAGGAGTTGGTGCTTGACCAGGAGGATCCAAATGAGAGACCATCATTTGATCAGCTGCTGTTGAAAATGGAGATCATGATGACGAAGGACACTCTTTACTTGGATTTAAAAGAGGATGGTAAAAAATGATCCCTCTGATAGTGCGACCACATCCGAAACTACAATTTGATACTACGCATAATTAAAATTAAGCTGATGAAGCTTTCAAAATGTTTCGAAGATAACAGATAGGGTTGAATCGTAGACAGTGAAGACGTACTTTGTTAGAAATTTTGACTCCTTAATAAAATTTTTGTTTAAGAATTTTGGTTCTATGAATAAAGAGTACTATAAAAAGTTAAAAGTGGTGGATTGTCAAATGTAATCGGTTTTGTGGAAGCAGGAAAATGAGGAAATAGATAACATTCAAAAAACATGTAACCTTGATGAAATGTACAGTGGGTCAAGTCAATTACACGTTGTGTAAATATGCCAAGTGATGACCAGATATAATAATGCTGTTAAAGCTAAGATGAAAACCATGAAATAATTCTGTCAGTTTTCAAACTTTTTCAGTTTCATTAAACCCTAAACCGTTCCCGTTATTAGGACTTTGATTTCTTTTTCGTACTTACAAAATGCTCTCGAATACATCTTTTAGAAGTGTTTAGAAGGTACATTTGGAAATTTGTCGAGAAAATTTGCAAAATGCTTTACTCAGTTTGCACAAAGCATAAAAAAATAATACTAATCCATGACGTCAACCATGCGCCTACACTTTGAGTGGCCATTGGCAGTGGCTGATCACAGCAGTCATAGTGCTCGGTGAACACTCGAGTATATTTGAAATGGAGCAAGCTTTCCTTTTTCCTTTTCTATCGTGTTCGTCTGAACAAAAGTTTAAAGAGGAATATTTCGAGCAAAACTTTTATCTATTTACTGATCATCAGTCATATGATAAATTTAGCTTTGTTTAAATGTTTCGAGCTCAGAATAAATTTGCATAGTCAAGTCAACGATGAACATAGCTGAGACTAATTGGGCTCAAAGCTTTTGAATCAAAACTTAGAGAGGTTTTCTTCAAAACTTGGCAAAGTGCTTCTTTCGCAATCATTCTCTAAGTTTCCGCATTCTAAAGCGTGTTTCAATGACTTAAAGCCATCTATGTTGGGGTACTTTGGCAAAGTATTCGTCCGTAAGCAACATCAGTCTTTGGCCGAGAATTGAACCTCTACATATAGAGGCTTATTTAAAAACCTCTTTCTGCCAGAAACTTTAATTTCTGTTACTCGTGTTGACGCGTTCTATTTAATTTGTCATAAGAAACTAGAAAGCGGTTGGTACTCAAAACAATAAATGAACGAGGAAGATTCATCGATTTCCTTGCGAATTTCCTGCTTGAGATATTATAATATTTCCGGAGGCACTCGTGAATTAGAAGAGCAGCTGAAGAAACCTGGAGTGCGAAGTCATGTTTCGACAGCTGTGTTCTCACAGCGTGGTTTTAAGTGCAAAGCTCGTCTTGACCAATCAGCGAACGACAAATGTGACGGCTTTGCTGAAGCTAGGGGTGTTGGTAAGTTTGCAGAATCATTGTATAGAGGGCTTATATTTGAACACGAAACACCATACACTCTTGTCAGTCTCGTCACTACAGCCTATCATAACTCTTATTTTGAGATCCAAGTTTAGAGATCTATGGCGCATTTAAAGTTTATCTGCGTAATACTTTATTTTTCCATCTTTTTGTCTTTGTTCACGCGCGAAGAAGCTTACGTCACTAACAAAGTCGGTAAAAGAACGTTCAAGGTAAATATTTGTTATATAATGTTTTGTACACAAGGGAATTCAACTGTTTTCATAAAATGTCTTTCGGTCAACCAAGAATTGAAAGGTTCGTCTAAAGTAATAGATTGACTGATGGCAACCTCTGACAAGTATTCTAAGACTTTGAAGAGCTTCGCTTGGTGCCTTAATTATATTGGTTTTCTTGTTCGTCTCAAGCGTCAGAGCATCATGGAAAATCGGTCTCATTTGTTTGATATCTATATTGAATACTGATTAGACATGATATATGTTTTTTAAAATGATACGTATACCATTTTTTCGATAAATTACGTTACAGTTTTTTTTTTTGCGTTATTGATCACAGCTACAGCGAAAACTTCAGATGGCGTCGGTACTCAGAAGTCGCGTAATGGACTCAGGACCTATGCGTGCGCAGACTCAGGGGGCAGAAACTAACGAAAATGGAGCATGAAATTCTGGATCGATCAGACCGCCAAAGAATTGAGAATCACTTCATTTGACATTTGCTGGTTTTCATTTATCGAATAGAGTTTTCCATTGCTGTCAGTCAAAGAGCTATAAGTTATTTAGAAAATTATGATATTGTCGGCATCGTTGGAATAGAGTAATGTCAAACTTACCTGTAAATCTACCATCGGGATAACAATTTTAGATAAAATAACCATTGTGGTTATCTATGATTACATCACGGACGTGATATGATGTTTAGGCTTCAAATATCAGTTATTGAAAAAGACGGTAATGTGATTTAGCCTTCGAAAGACATGTTAGGTTAAGTTAATTTTTCTTTAAAAAGTGCATCTATTATGTCATGTGCCGATCAGAATAAACCTAAAGTTCACTTAAAAATAAATTTTACTTCATTACAGAAGAGAAAGATTGGATTCAGTCTGAGTTAAGGTGATTTCTGGGGTAAAAACGTTATCGAACAATTTTGTTAAACTTTCCGCAAATTTTCTTCTTGACGGTCGGGTTGAATACGGTCTGACTTCGCTTAAAGCACTGATGTCCATGGAATGAAGAACATTATCTGAATTTACTCTTAAGTACATCGAAAATCTTCAGCGTTTGATTCACCTTAATGACTTTGTTGACCAAAGCTCTCTAAGACCTTTTTCACACTTATTCGGATAAACGGCCACAAGAAAATTTACCCGTGGCATTGTGGGACCTTCACATCTTCAAATTCTCAGACAATTTTAACTCATAACAGCGCATGACAGTCTTGTATGCCCGTAGAGAATCACTGCTACTTAATACATTTAGATAGAAAGCACTTCCGTCAAGTTTGTTAGAAAAACCTCTTAAAGTGTCAAATCAAAAGCTTTGAGCTCCATTAGTCTCAGCTCTTCTCGTCGTTGACGTGACTGTTTAAGCAAATTTATTCTTAGCTCGAAACATTCAAACAAAGCTAAATATATCATATGGTGATCAGTAAGTAGATAACAGTTTGACTCGAAAGACTCCTCTTTAAACTTCTGTTCAGATGAACACGATATAAAATTAAAAAGGAAAGCTTGCTTCCATTTTTCAAATATACTCGAATATTCAAATGGCCCAAGAAATGGCTTCTTTTCTCTCCCCGGTCTGATTAATCTCCCAATATCTTACAAGTTACCATTGCTTTGGGCAATTTTTTCTCTATTGTTTTAATTACATCACTTTTGAGGTTATGGACAGGTCAGTTGTTTGATTCTTACAAATATCCGTCAAATGTTATATTGAATCAGTCTCGATTTCATCCGCAAAGTGGTAGAAACCTGTCTTTGCATCCCTTTCGTGATCTAAATTGCCTTTCGTACTGAAATCGTCGGTGGAGTCTTTTCTCCACAGATTCTTTGTTACGCTTTTCGGGAAAGAAGTCTCCCTGGCCTTTGTTTACGTCGCTGTCCTCATCTATGTCAGGAAACCCACGCAAATGCTCAGCCTCCAAGCCCAGTAACAGGATGAGGATGACACAGGCCATGAGAAGACTGGAACGAGCCAACATCTTGTAGCAAAATTATCAAAACAGTTTTTCCACGGGTAGCTATAGGGTAATTGAAATATACGAATCATTTCAGATGATTTGCACAGATATCCTATTATTTCGGGAAATGTTTAAAGGAATTGGGTAAACTTACATCGACTTGAAAATATACTATGTACTAACAAAAAGTGATCGATTCATCTGTCGTAAAGGTAGGGGAAGGTAGGCTAATCACGTGACCCACGAAGAGCTTTCAGTGGACGAGGCAAAACGCCTCATGTGATCTGACTCCTCGTCCAGGTAAACAAATGAAAGACGTGTAAACCAAGAAAAGAGGCGATCTTCGGTAAGCGGCAGTTAAAGAAATAGCAGAAAAGAAGTCTGAAAAAATTGAACTGTTAACAGGAATCAAACCTTTGCCGTAAAGATTCTAGAAAGGTGCTGTTACTAACTGAGCAACGAAGTCACAGGTCGAAAATAAGACAAATCTCCGACAGCTTTTTCGTTCCCTAGAGAAATCTTTCTTATAATCAATCAATTTAATCTAGTCACAATTAATTCAGGCTTCTCTTCTCAGTGCAATTTTTTTAATTACTGTGTACCTGCGAAGGTAACTGTGAAAGAGTAGCGTGTAATTCACCTGCCGTTCAAAGGAGTCATAAAATAATATTAAAGCCACCGACCGTATGCCTCAGATAAGAGCTTATCAAGATTTCGTTAGAGGATATGAACGCTACGTGCAATCCTTAAAATTGGAGTTAATAACGTTTTCTGCCAACTTTCCACTAACAATAACTGGCTAGTACTCTCAGCCTGGCAGCGGTGAACATGCCCTTGAGCGCGAGGATTTTTAGGCTTAATTGCAGAAATTAGGGACATTTTAAGAAATGTCCTAAATTTCCGTGATAACCTTACTTTAGCCATTCTTAAGTCGTTTTTTAAATGTTGCAATCCATCATCATGTTCTAGAAGGCTGTTTCCCAAAGTTCAAATTGAAAAAAAGTCATAAACACGGAATCAAATAGTCTTGAAGGTAAATGCGAAGCCCTAAGTTCTAAATCCAAATATTTAATTTTCAGTTATATTAGGATAATTTTATTAAACTTCTTGCTAAACTTCTTGCTAAATTTCACTCTGAGAACTTTGAGTTCTTAACAGATCAAATGTCAAATGTTCATAACGATGAGTGCATTAGTACATTAATGACGCATCAATAGCACTGAGTCTAGATAGTCGATTTCAGGCTAAAAATTTTAACTAAAAACGACTCAAATTAAAATCTGAGTTGGTTGGTTTAATCCTCTAACATTTGCAACGTTTTTTTTTCAATTTTTTTGGCTTTTGTTTAGGTTTTTGTTGCGTCGTACCCTCATTCTTTACCTCTCTATTTCAGTGAGCATTCCTAAGTGATTTCAACTTAACTTTTTCAGGTTTTCATTTTCCTCACATCTTTACCCAGATGTGACACATGCGGTATATATTTCTGTTACATCTTTGGTTACTTGAAGATGAATTCCTTGTTTGAGTTGAGTCCTTCTCGTTCCTTTTGAGTTCGTAATTCTTTTTTCATTAATTTTTGGGTCAAAATTCTATTTTTAAGCCATCAGAAAATTCTGTACAATGGTAAACTAGTAAGAACGAAGGATTCTGGACGTAAAAAAGAATATAATGTCTGGTCAGATGTCACACTGGTAAAAGAAGGACGACGTACATAAACTTTACTAACCGTATGATTTTGGCCTTTTTCAAGCTGGTGACCTTTTTTTCCCTCTAACGCCTCTTGTTTCAATGACTACCTTTTGCGTAAGATGCTTCAGTAAGAAACGGTTTAAAATAAGTACAGAATTACGAAGTTTTGGGTTATATCATTGGAAAAATCCAAAGACATAATAAACATGGTAGTTTTGTTTTTCTTCTGCTGGATTTTCCGACAATAACATTTCCTGTGCGCTCAATGTGTATCAATGAACCCATCCGACTAATTTTAATTGCCGCTTTTACTTAGTCAAAGCGCTGAAAGTATGACTTGAAATTGTTACATCTTATATTCCGGCTTTTATCGTAAACATCATTAACTTTGAAACTCATTATCCGATTACAATGACATTTCGAAAAGTAAGGCAAGTCAAATGATGTCGGTTTTTTTCCTTTTTTTCTTTTGCAACCCATACAAACATACCCACGCAGATCGATTCCAAACATCTGATTTTGTAAGTCAAAATAACATTTTTCATAAAGCTAACAAGTTTTGTTGGCTTTGAATTGAGTACGTTGCTGTCAAATGGACTAAATGATTGAAAATACAATTTGTACAAAGGACATCTTTTAGACGAATCGCCGACCAGTCCTTGTCATTTCCATCGGCAATGATTTTAATCTATATATTCAGGTTGAAAAAAGCCGGTGACATATCGCTATCTTTTCAAAAGACCACCAATTTGTTTTTAAAAAAAAGATCAAAATTAAAAAGATTCAAATGGTATTGCTTTTTGCATTACGCAACAATCCGTCGGCAATATTACTACCAAACATTTCTTTTCCCTTAAGCAATTGACTACTTTTGTGGTTGTGCTGGTAACATTGTTTATCACGCGCATCATCAGTTAAATCTTGAAGTATATTTTTTATTCCTACAGTTCCAGTATCTAACGAAAATTAGCATAATTGATTATAAATAGATTAATGGATGAGAGACCTTGTATGATAATAACTCGCGGGTGATTCTATGAAGAGAAGTGTGTTCTGATTGGTTTAGGTTTGACTGCGCCTCGAATCCCGCGTAGGGCGTCGGTGTCTGATAGATTAATTTCAAGATGGCCGCCGCGGGATTTACTAATGCTTTGAAACAAATGGAAAATGAAATGAAGGAAAGTCTAGTTGATCTGAGAGTGAATTTACTGATACATGTTGTTATCTTAAGGCAAAAACGCTTTTAAACATTAGATAACTTCATCGGAACTTCATTCGCCGGATAAAAACTATTGGAATTTTCACCATTTGCCGCCGAGTAATGAAGACGCAATTTGAATTCACACCTCTCCTGCACAAAAGCTCACCTACAGAACACATTTCTAATACAGGGCAATCAGGGCGTTCACCTTAGATCACACTATACAATTTTTCATTTACAGTTTCTTCTAGACAAGATAGCTCGGATTTTTGATCAATTTCAATTTTGCGTATACGATGATTCAAAATTTATTCAGCTGCTGACAGATTGACAACGAACTGTAACTAATACGTAACGTTATTTGTTTCCTGTGAAAGTGGTTAAATGGTTTTGAACAAACAGCCACCGGGTTCAGGTATTCCGCAATAGCTTTATTTTAGCTCTTTTCATTCAGCTCTAGTAACCTTGGATAAATTCACCTGAACATTCGATAGCTGGTGAAACTCGAAGAAGGTTTCCACGGTTCCTTTAAAAGAAAGCGCCTTACCTTTACAAAAGAGGTGACAAAGAGAACATAACGATGATACACAAGGGCAACTAGTTGAGATAGCGATATGCATAACGAAAAATACCTTTTCCTTTCCGCGAAAATATCAATTGTCCATAGCTTACATTCGGGGACTTAAACAAAACTAAGAGATTTAATTTTGAAATTAAAAAGCTCTCTCTAGTCTGCATTTGACCTCAAAGCTGATGCCAGCTCAATTCGACCTTAAAGCTAATTTCAAATGACACAGACGAGTGTAAAAAAAAAAGTCTCGCGAGCAAGGTAAAAGACACTAAAAAATAAAAAATTCCTGTGTTTGAGCTATGTTGAACAACACTGCCGCAGTTAACTGATTCGAGATACAGTCAACGCTAAAAGCACACTATTGAATAAAAATTCAAATCGTTTAAATATGGTGAAATAAACTCAGTACTTCGTTGCGGTTCTTACAAAGCAATAGGGTCAGACGTAAATAATTTTTATGCCCATTATACTTTCAGGGGATTATTCGTAAATTAAATAACTTACCCTTAGGGTTTGCTTGTCGAAAGAGTGATCTGTCCTTTTCTGCTTCGATCTAAGGATCCTGTAAGTTTCATGCCCATTTAATTTCACTGCTAATTCAGGTTTTATTAAGTTGATTTCCCCTTGTCAACCTGTCACCGGGCCATGTAACTGCCTCTCGAGCAATTTTCTACGTTTGACACCTTGTCGATTAAAAAAAAACAGGTTATTTTTATCATAATCATTAGCGAAGCGTACGATATTACGTCTGGTCGAAGGCCGAAAAAAAAATCAAAAAAGAAAAAATAGAAGGAACTTTCACGAAAAATGTTTAACTGATAAAATAAAATATAAAACCAAGGGACTAGAGCTTAGCAAAAACTTCGAAAGGTTGTGTTTACAATAATTGACGCCCTCGGATTTGGTTAGCGGACTCGATGAAAAAAGAAATTCTTATTAGTTTCACCTGCCGATAAGTAAAAATCTAATATGTCGTCTGTTTTATTTGTTGTTCACTTAAAATTGTTATCTGCGAACGACCAACCAGGAGTTACTTGTTTCTTATTTAATTCGAATCTTTTCATTTTCCCTAAAGGGAACCCTTTTCACTGTAAAAGCTTTTTGGTGGCTTCTAAATAACTCTTTTCAATAATTAATTGCGTATGGAGAAAAGAAATAATAACTTGTTCGGTTGATTTCTTTCTTTACTAGAAGATTTATACCGAGTTAACTGAGAGTTAATTCCCCAAAGAAATTGAAGCTTTGAGCAAACGAAGTATTATCTATGAATTTGGGCTGATTGAAAAACTCCCCAAGGACTTAATTCAAACATTTCTCTTTGGTGTTAATAATCTCAATCCTTAAGCGAAATGTAGGCTTGAATAATTCAAACGTAGACACGAAAATGAACTTTCAATAAATAGTAAATAACACAAAAATATGTTTTCATTTTAATTTCTCTATCTTGTCACCTCCCGGTGAATTCGGAAAGGCTATCTCAAAATGTAGACCAATTTTTCAATTTTCAATCCACCATGAGCATTTTTTCCTTTTAGCAAAGAATATAAAAATCGCATAGAAAAATTGCATCCGCAAAATCCTAACAGTCCGAATCTTTATTCTAAAATAACCGGCATGCGCCGGCTTAGTTTCTCGCATTCAGTTCTCAAAGGTACAAGTCAACGGTGTCAGACCTTAGTTCAACGGTGATCACTGAGAAAATCCTCTTCTTTTTCCCGAGTCATCTAAAGCTAGATTTTTAAATTTTCGGCAAAAAATTGACGAATTTCTGCTGGTAGTGGTGACTACACACACAAAAGTGATCAAGTAAAAGCCTGCTTTTAAAGGTTTCGATTAATATACGTTTTTCGCTTCGTATCTCACACACTGGATTTTCACGTTTAAAAAGCATTAAAATCATGCCTGAAAAATAGGCTTTATGGTATGTAGGTCTTGAAAAGTGAACATACTAAACCTAGTGAACACTAAGAGATATCGTAGAGTTATTACCTCGTTAGGTCACTTTATTCCAAAATGTTACAATACTGACAAGTCGACTCATGTACAAGTTCCCAGAATCTGGATTTACCTTGTAACTCTAAATGAATGAACGTCTTAAATTCAAGGCATTCACACGGCGCATTCTTAGTGCATTCGCTAAAGCAGCAGCCCAGGGTTAACAGGAGCAAGAATTCTATTTAAATCTCTGAAATGAGGGTTACAGTTATGTAAGATATGTATTAAAACAGTTGCAAGTCTTACAGGTTTACCTTAACACTACTTTGTGATGTCGTAAGCCACAAACTTCTGTTCGCTGTTTGCTCTGCTAAATGTTATTATTGTTGAAGTCGTAAACTAGGTTACGTTGGCGTTGTTTGAGTATTTTTATAGATGTATTTTTATATCATTTGCTCGGTTGGAGGAGACACCGAGTCGCCTATAAAGAACTGTATCTAAGGCGTTGTTCCTTTACGGCACTCTCACGAATTAAATTTGATGGCGAGGAACTCAAACATCCTTCAAAACGACTGAAGGTTCTATAGGATACTTTCGTTGCATTCGTTATGAACTCATGCAATCACAAATCTTAATAGGACTTTTATTACAATTACCGTACATTCTTGCTGGTCAAAAGACTTCTCTCTAGCATGAAGGAGAAACTACACGGTCGATGTGCGAGAATCGGCATATCTTTATTTCATTCATATTCACGGCCCATTCATCAAAATATCACAGTATTATAATTTTTTTCTCATTAGTATTACATGTTCTCAGCTTGAGGAGGCGTGTTACGTGGAAAGCTCACATTACGGCGGCGAAGGTCAGAAGAGACGAACAAAAAGCCAGTGAGCTTAAGATGACACACCTACCATTTTGTCTGCCCTTTTTTTCGATTGCGTTCACTGACGGATCGATTGTCAGTACACTGGATACACAGTAACTGGCAAAATTTAAATTAAATTAAATAATGAAATGGTTATCATAGACTTCACCTGTTGTTAAATGTTAAGTGGTTTGCCTCTTAGATACGATTTTGGAGAACGGCCTTGTTTGTTCCTGATAAAGATAACGATGTATTCGTAATGGTGGTGATGGATTCATATAGCGATAATGATGCATCTGTACAACGCATTCGCCATACACATACGAACATGCTCTAATGCAATTCAGCGCTTTTTTTCCCATAACCGCGAAAAATTCGACGCCATGTCAGGACGACCACAACAAATTCAAAGCTTTTTTGCCTAGCCTCTCTAGCTGGTGGTCTATGAGAGAGGGAACGCGATTTCCTCGTGTCCAATGCTCCTTTGTCCGTGCCGCTTGTTTTACGCCTTCTTTACCTTCGTTCTTAGTGCCCTCGTTCCTGGAATCCTCATTTCTTCTGTTCACTTAGTCAGGAAAATGGGTGACTCTGGTAGAATTCTTGGCCCCGGAGCTACTCGTTTCCCCATGATCATGACCAGAAGAAGACAAATACTCTTGGAGCGAAGGAAGTGCGCTTAATTTCTCAGTTGAATCTTCATGCGCAGTCATTTTTTTTTTTTAGCCTGTGAAAATATTTGAATATTCCTTTGCCTCGAGAGTTGCTCGTAAAGGAAAGAGAAGAGGAGTGGCTCTAAATAAGTATAATTTACTCTGAGGATCATTTTATGAAAAAAAGTTGAAATAGGTAAATGAAGTGAGTCGTTTGTGTTTGTACAGCTGCCGAATTACAAACGTGTACGATATTCTTTTCGTCACTTGTAGTGTGGTGAGATTGTTTATTACATGAGAAATAAAGTTGACGTTTGTAGATCAGCGTGGAAATTATCTGTTTTTCCTTTTTGAGAACAGGAAATACAGGTCCCAATTTATTCCATCGCCATCAATAAGTTTGTTTCTTTCTTCAGGTGTTCTTTTGAATCTTTTAGACTCGCAGCTGCTGTGTTTTGCGACTCCTCAAAGGTTCACTGTTGAAATTTATTTCTTCTCGGGTGCATTGCGGGAAATCCCGAAGAGACTCGAGCCAGTTGGCCTGTGTCACACCTTATACGTCATAATCTCCTATTTATTAATCTCCATGGCGACAATTGGGCTTATTCTCCCTCGTCCCCTTCTTTCTCAGCAGACAGCTATTGTTGACAATGGCGATATGGACTCTGATTCGTTCGGCGAGGAAAAGTTAATTTTTGTGGACGATTGCGAGCGTTAATCTTTTAATTTTTTGTGAGTCTAAATGGAAAATAATTCAAAACCTTGTTGCACGTATTATAATCTTACAAGCCTCCTGTTTTTGCAGTGAAGTTTGTGTTCACAGAGGAACGATCGTTTGAACACACATTTCCTATTCCTTTGTACAGATTTCTTAGGATGATTCCTGTTCACGGAGCGGACGGTACGGCAACTTCGTCGAGGGCTTCGTCGACTGTGACGATGAACCAGAAGGAAAGAATAAATGGCTGGTCTTGCCCATGGCATCCTCTTCAATTCGTCGCGTGGTTTTTCATTTTCTTTTTCTCCGTTTGTTATTTTGGTGTCTTCGTGTTTTACCTCCCTGAAGAATGGAAGGCAGCTGGATTCATTGTATCCTTTGGTGATGTTGACTTCTAGAGCTTTCCTTCAATGTTATGCGTAAAATCAGGAAGATGTGGTCTTTTTTACTCATATAGATCTATGTATGCACAACGCTAAAAGGTGAAATCTACAAATTATACGACTCAAGCGCGAGAATGAAGTGTTTATCACGTAATTTTATGTCTAATGACTGTCTGTTAATGACTTGAGTTTTTATAGCAAAGAGTGATGAGAGTTCGTGTACACGTTTAACTTTTATCTTTTTTCTTCTTTCCCTGAACATATCTAACCCTAAATTTTAAATAGTAGTCGGGCTGATATCAAGCTTACAGAAACAGTTATTGCCGAGGAGGAAATGAATTTCCAAACTTATGATTTTGTGGATAGTCATAATTAAATTTTCTCCGTTGTTCTTCAGTTTCAGCTACAATGATAATTCCTTTACTAAGTGGTAAACCATGTTGGCAAAATTTACTTCGAAGTTTGTAATTTCCTCGTGTTTAACGCAAATGGGAACAAACTTGAATTTTTGGAGAAATTTATTTTACGACTTCATTAACTTGTGATTGTGAAAATAGTTTTTTTTTTTTACACTACAGCGAATTTTTAAGTTGGTTATTGCATGGACACATTTTTACTTCTGACAGCCCCTAAAACTCTAATAATGTTGAAGAAGTAGGAGATAGGAAATGTTCTTCATCATAATAATGACTTCTGCATGCAAGAACAATATATATTAAGTGTCATAATGTCTTAATTATACCTTCGCTTCCGCTATGGTAACAATTGTCTTGAATATATCACTTACGAGTAAAGCTGAAGGAAGTAGTTTTTTGTTAAAGTTACCTAAGTTGAAAATCAGAGTACTTGTCTTTTAGAGTTCTGATTCAGAGGAGTTTTAACCCTTTCATTTCCAGGATTCTTTTTTCATTGTTGCATTAACAAGTAGGAAGGTCATGGTAAGAAAGGAAACATCATATTGGGGATAAAGTTTTTTGTAACACCAAATTCTCAGAAGTAAATTTATTAAAGACATATGGCAGTGAGTGCAGAGAAATATTTAGGTTTGGGTTGTGAAAAATTTAGAACAGAGCTCGATAGAGTGGTCTTCATATATGTCTGCTACAGAAAAGTTTTTGAAAAGGTAATAAAATGATTTGCAGTGCAATTTGGTGTTAACAAGCACAAGTAAATTGTTTGAAGACAACAAAATTGCACAAGCCCGTATGGCAAGTGCAATTTGTAATCTATGAAAAAATTTAAAAGTGTTTATTACTCCAAATTGCAAGACAAATCATGTCACCACTCATTAATAATTTACATGACAATCATCACAGGAAGGCAAGACAGACAAACTTCAAAAGGCATGTGCATACGATTTGTAATTTGCATTTGTGTTAGAACTTTACACTCATGTTCCATGAGAATGCACTTGTTTTCAGCTAATCAGAAGCATGGAATTTTTTCATGTATATTATAATGCTGAGAACATATTTAGTTTTGTTGTTTTTTTTTAAGAAGCCACAATATTTATGATACATATGTTTGTACTTGTCTGACAATGCAGTCACACACATTTTATGACATGAACTATGTTTGGCCTACATGTTACCAAACTGTGATGCTCCACTGTGATTGGTTAACTCTATTATTAAGGCATTTTTCCTTAACCAATGTGTTCAGATTCCAGGTGGTTTTTGTGTTGTTCACATCATTTTTCATTTGATGGCACTGACCTTAGACCCAGCTGACCCTAACATCAGAGGTGATACACAAAAGGGCAAAGCAATCTTTGATAGGAGCCAGCATGAACATGTTATTGAAAACTGCCACTGTTATATCTGCCAAGCTGATGTGTAAGCTTTTCTATTGATATTACTTTTTATAAATATGTTTCCTTAAGGTAATGAGAAAAATATCGAATTATGGAAAGAGCCAGTTAGATTTTTGCAGACTTTTGACATTTGTAGAAACATCTATTCAGGAACTTCTCAGACTCTTCTGGGAAGTTGCTAAGTTTTGGAGGGATTTGTAGAAAACTTATGGACAGTTCTACTGAATGGCAGAAAGGGTCAAGTTTGTGCTTAAAGCTAGTGGACATTAAGAGAAGTGAAGGTGGCTAGAGGTGGATATGGCGATGTAAAGATTGACTGCTAGCCATTGACACAGAGATGAAAAGTTGTTTTGCTATATACCAAAACAGTGAGATACTATGGCACAAAAAGATAATTTGACTCATTTATTCTGCGGTTTTTAATGTTTTTGGGCACAACTCCTGTGCAAGTTGCTTGGAGGTGAATGACAATAAGGATATTTAGAGTTTGAGGAGTCACTCTGTGCATGCCTTCAACGTTATCCACTGTTTTAGTGTAAAATATAAAATAAACATCTTTCAAAGTCTTGGACGGAGGTCTATACCGTAATCTGAACGTGTTTGTTGCTAAGCTAAATATTGTTTTGTTGAATATACATGAGATTGTGAAAATGATAAATGATTTTAATAACTACTGGTATGTAAAAAGAGGTTAGGCCAGGCCTTAAAATACTGGACAAGTGAATTCTGTGGTTGGATGATAAGAATCTAGAAAGATTTGTTAAAAATCAACTCATTGCAACCATTACTTTGGAAGATTTGTACAAGACAGTGTTGTTGGTCATGCAAATTGCAACGAATAACATAAGTAATAAGTGAAATGTTTCTGATTTCAACAGTGGACCCAAAAGCAAACATTGCTCTGTGTGCAACAAATGTGTATCTGATTTTGACCATCATTGCAAATGGCTGAATAACTGTGTAGGAGGACAGAATTATAGGTATGCTAATTCAACTCTTGTCTTGCATGTAAGTTCATTCAACAGCTTGCTTTTTATCCAGAATAGTAAGCCTTATGTTTGTAATTGTTATGATATGATGTTTTTCAATATTGTTTGTGACAAGATGTTTTCATTGTTAGTAAATATTTAATGCTTTGAATTGTTCTTTAATCCACAGATTGTTTATTGGCTGTGTTTCTAGTGCCTTTGTTCTGGCATTAACAGTATTCACGATTACTTTTTACGTCTTTGTAATGTACTTTGTGGACAAAGAAGGCATTAAGTCATTAACAGGTACATTTAAACAATTTGGTTGTTTTTATCTGTAACTTATCTGTAACTACGGTGTTGTACAGCGTTTATGAGGAAATAATTACCAAAATTATCCCACTACCATTAAATTGTGTGTGAACAAGTTACTTTCATATTCACTCCTATGGTAATCCCACAATGTGTTTGTTACCAGGAAGGAGTATCTTGTAATTAAGGGTGCAACTATGATAATCTTTAAGGGGGTAAGTTTCTAAAGAAACTGTGGTGCTGCATTGGTGGGAGGGTATAACAGGGTAATTTAGTATTATCAACTGAGTTGATAACGTAAATTGGCCACCGTAAAGAGTTTAAAAGCTGATGTTTTGAGCACTAGCCCCTTGTCAGAGCAGTTGACGAAGTGCTAATGCTGGAAACATCAGCTTTTTTAATCTTTATAGTGGCCAACTTATGTTATTAGCTGGGCTGATAATATTACATTACCCTATGATAATCTTAACTGTAGTGGTGACAACAATGAGTTATGGTTTAAAGAGGGTAAGTTTTTAAAGAAAATGTGGTACTGTGTTGGTGGAAGAGTGTAATAGGATAATTTAGTATTATCGAGTCTAGTTTGGTCTGATTGTCCAGTTAAGTGTAGTCCAGAGAACAACTGTAGTAGTAGTGACCCAATGCCTTTTTATTGCCCTACATCAGCAGTAGTAGTGACTGATGTTTTGACAACCTGAGCAGAGGTGATCATTAGAGTCAAGTGACCAGTTGCTGTTAGTCGAATGTACTATGTCCAGTTTGTGTAAACTTATTGGTCATTTAGCCATTATGTTATGGGCTGTAAGACTCAAGTGGTGTAAGTCAGTCCTGATTGGCCAGTTGCAAAACGTCAGTTGCTACTACCCTCCAACAGTCCTTCTCAGGACTACACTCACCCAGATGATCAGACCACACAATCATATGTTACCCCCAGGTTGAAACCATTGACTGTAACACTAAGTTACTAAACCTTTAGTTTTGCTCACCCCCTCCCCTGGAAATTTAATCTTGGGTGGTTTTTTTTTTTTTTTCACTGCTTGGTGCTGATGAAAGTATTGTTTAAGTGACTTAAAGCAACCACTGTGTTTGTCTTTCAGGAGGACAGTTCAAAGTATTTGTTGAAGTCTCTTCTGATGAAGTATTTGTTGCATTCCTTGGTGTTATATTGGGTCTACTGTTGCTTACCATAGCTCTTCTTGGACACCTGCTAGGATTTCATATTTATTTAAGTAAGGAAGCAATTAATAACTGATACAACAACCTGTGATTACATAGCATCCCACTGGTTTAAAATAGCAATTAACAAGGTTTGAAATACATGCAAGGTTATTTCATTAAGGGAACATGCATTCTATCAAGCCCTACTACTGGTTAGGTGTTTTATGCAATGGGGAAAATTCAGGAAATTAAGATGTGAGCCAGAAAACCAGGAAAGAGTACAACAAGTAAAGGCTTACTGTTAAATTTTTGACTTGGAATAACTGACTTTCATTTGTTGTTTGAACTGTTCGGTTTGTTTTTCCTTTTTCTTCAAGTTCCTGATTTTTTTTTTTAAGTTTGCAGTGAGACTGTTAAAACAGTGATTGTAAAAGATAAGTTTGTTGTTTCAGAATATTGACAGATGGATGTTATATAGAGCATTGACAGGACATTCATCAGCATTGTTACAAACCTATTAATACAGCATACAATGCTATGAAGCAAAAAAGATAAAGATGTGTTGTTGATTTGCTTTGAAAATGACATCTGATCAAACTTGATCAAACCCATATATTGTTGATAATAACTTCCATGCTCAGCTATATTGTTGAATGCCAAGTTAAAATTGACATTTGATATTATTAAGGGAAGTTTACGGCATGGTCATCAACTTATGTAAATATTCTCCACACTTAAATGCGAACCAGATCTGGAGTCCATTGACATTTCTTTAAAGTTCTCCTTCATCTAATGCCTAGTGATTGCCCTGTCAGCTTATGTGCATTATTGGGGTATGTTTCATTTCACAGACTTCTCTAGTAATGACGAAGTTATGTATTGGTTTTGAACCATTTGCTTTGTGCTCTTCAACAGTGTGTCATAGAATATCCACATACGAGTTCATTATTAATTCAAGAGATAGCCAAGCTGGTGTCACTGATGTTGAAGCAGGCACAAAGTCACCATCAAATAGAAAATTATTTAAGGTATTTTAACACTGCTTTGTCTCATATTTGCTAACTTTCCAGTTACGCAAGCCATATCTGGCAGTTTCCAATAGGTCTTGGTAATTAAGAGCTGAGAGTTTTACCTGTACTTCTAGCATTATTCTGTTAGATTCAAGTTGAGTTATCTTCTTGTACAAGTCAGTTATAAGTCAACATATTATGTATTGACGTGGGAGCATTTTGGGAATATCAAAAAAACTGTGTTGATCATTTGAAAACAGAAATAAAACACGGCTGCTAAGGGTGGGAAGAACTACTTCTTGACTTGAATTAACACACCTAATTGACCTCTCCCTCTTTTTCCAACCTTTTATCTGTACAGCGGTTTTTTTTTTCATTGATTTTTTTTTTCTCATTTACTCAAAACATTCACATGTAGCAGTAAATGAAGTGTCCAGCCTTCCCAAGTGTCATGGTTGTTGAGGCGAAATCATTGGGTATTCTTCTTTCCTTTCTGGTTGTGAGATTGTTCAGTTGATTTTCTTGTATTTTTAATTCACAGAATAAAGTGAAACCTGAAGAAGACAGGAGGGAGAATGCAGAACCTCCAAGGTGAGTCTCATCAAGTTAACCCTTTACATCCTAACATCAGTATGCAAATTCTCCATACTATGCTCTATACATTTCCTAAGGGGCTGACAAGGAGAATTTGTTTAACAATCAAGAGCTTTAGTTTTTGATCATTTCCTTTATTCTTGTATCCTAAATGTGTGATTCAGGGATTATATTTTAAGGAGAAATTAGATACTAATCACTCTTAGGGGTTAAAGGGTTAATGCAAACAACAATTTCATTTTGCAATTTCCCTAAGAATGCTTTCAGATGTTAGGGACCTTTGACAGTTTAGATTCTATAGCAAAGTTGACTTAAAGTATTGCAGGAAAGAGGTTTCAACAGATGTATATCATAGGCCTAGATCTTTTTGACACTGTAACTGTGTACTGGAATTCTCCTACAACAGAGTGATATTTTTTTTTGTCTTATTTAATATTTTAAGGATTGAAATAAGTGATCATGGCAGGTCCGAGGTATCAGAGGATTCTCTTCCTGTTGAGACAACTGTCAAGTTCATAAGTGAAGTCAGTTCTAAGGTGTGTATCCGATTTGTTTTCTAGAAAGTGAGTAGATGTGCTTGGTATGCCTAATAGACCCTATTCCAACCTAGAGAATGAGGTCAAACATTTCTGTTTTAGGGAGAATTAGTCTGAATAGCAAAAAATTATTTGGTCCAAGCACAAAAGAATACCGATTTCGTGATCTGCCATGAGGGGTTTTTGGATTCCAAAAGAAATTCAGAGACTTCGTTCAGCTCACTTTTTTGCTATGTCATTTGCGACCTCTCCCTCAGTTTTTTCAAATTAGCACTCTTGTTTAGTGAGAAGTTCATTCTTTTTAGCCAATCAGAACTGAATAAGTTCCCATTTACACTATCGGTTCAACTTAGCCAGTTGTGAGGTGTATTGAATATTTTTTTCAACTCTGGTCGTTGCCTCCATTGTAACCATTATCGTAACCATTATTAGTACACAAGGGCATCGTGCTTTACGCGCGCGCTGATTGGTTAGTTCGGAAGTGAGTGGCTAGTTCTATTTTCCTCTGTGCAGCTGATGAGACAAAATCGCGCGTCAGGAGTTTAATTTCTGACCTCTATTTGGCATATTAACAGAAAGTCTCTGGTACCGACATTAAAACTACCCTCTCTTATCAGTTTATTCTTACTGTTACTGTTTTAATCACTTCAGGCCGCTGCTAAACATCACAGATCCAGTGTTGACCATAAACAATCACAAGACCAGGAATTAGTGTCTAAACAACCCTCAGTAATCAAAGATTATTCGCCACTGGGCATGACGGAGCCTTCAGGTTCAGAGGAATCCTTGAAGGAAATCACATCCACTACCCCACGGGTTGCAATTCATCAGCCGGCAATCGCAAACATGGCCTCTAAGCTAGAGCAACCTGCGGAAATTGTTGTCGACCAATACGGTACTGACACAGCATCAGCTCGACCGGGGCCTAGTGGGATGACTTTAGCCGATGATGATGAAGGCGAGGAACTGGTACCAAGTCCCAGGAAGAGGAAAAAACGGAAAGTTCGTGAAGGAGTGAATTCACAGACAAGTAATAATGAGGAATGTGAACTTGTTGGGGTTGTCACGAAAGATATTAAACCGGGAGGTGTAGCGAAAGGACAAGACACTGTAGATGCTCCAATTCCGAAGAAGAAGAAAAAGAAAAAGACGAAAAGCGCTTCACCAGAAAGCTTACCTCCTGTTGTAAATCGCCGGCCACTTCCAAAGTTACAATTGGAAGACTGACTCGGACGAATTTCATTAGGAAATTTTGAATTAAGTACTCCAGTGACACGAATATTTTAAAATCAATCGTTATCGTTAATTGTAAATAGCAACTTAGTACATTATAGGCGAAATTTTTTACATATGAAATGAAATTTCATTCGAAAATTTCACAACCCAAAAGTATTTATGATGTGAAATGAATTTGCTGTCCGTAAATTAATTTCGTAAATGAAAAGCATTTTTCTCGTAGAGACTAGATAACTCTTATATTCTTAGCCAAGTTTTACATCAATTCTTAAACGATAAGCTAGAAAGTAGTTGTAGAATTCGACTAAAGTTTTAGAATGCAGTGGTTGATGATGCTGTGAAATTCTTTAGAGCCCAAACTAATCTTGATACCAACATAATGGTCAACAATATTACTACTCTTTTGTAGCCCACTATTAATTTTTTTCCTTTATAAGATATCGAAATGGTATTCACTTTTTAAGATGTTGATATAGTGTTTCTACAAATAATGTCGTGTTATTTATAAGGGACGTTTTCTACTGAACTTTCTAGATAAGCTTTCTGCACGCACTCTTAGTTCGTTTTCGGAACACAGATTATTATTTATTGCCTCGGCATCACAACCGTTATTTAACGTAATAAGCTCAGCTTTCCTGTTTTGAAAAATAGTTGTTGAGACTTAATTATTTTAAAACTTAAAATATTGGTTAAACAAAAGTAAAGTTTTTTTACAAAGAATTTTTAAGTTCTCTCTTGTAACGTTTCATGTCAAAACCGTAGGGTGTGATCATTGGCGCCCACTTGTCGTCTGGGGAGACTTGAAAGAGCACTCTTTATGTGAGAAGTGTCATTGAGTATTACTTTTATAGTTTGTTCTCTTTGACAGCCAAAGAATATCGCTCTCTCAGGCTCTTGTCGTCGGCCAAAGTCTGACTGTTAAACAAAGGGTGAAAATTAAGGTGGTTGTTAAATTTGTCACGAACTTGCGGACAAAGTTCTCCCGCTAGGCTCGAGTCCCGACTGGCTTTGCCGACTAGACGACTACGAATTCGTCTGAGAGCCACCTGAGGTGGTGACGGAGTCGTCATGATACTCTCATATCGTGATTTTCCGACTTTCAACCATTATTGATCGAGTTGCGATAAAACACGGAAATAAATTAATCGAGAGGTAAACCGATGGAACAAATTTAATCGCTAAGGACTATTAACTGTTGTGCCTGACGTTGCCAAAAGGAGTATATATAAATAAAGAACTGCATTTTTAACAGCGGATCAAACGGGGCCGATCCAGAAATATTCTCTACGGCTTGTAAACCAAGCACAAGGGTCCCGATATTCAAACATGGTGACAGCTATGTCAAGTCGTCGCAATCTATGACCGTTTTAAAGACAAAAAAAAATCTAAGATTGTGGAGAGAACCACAATAAATTGATATTCGTTGTAGCCAAGTTGCAACACATGAAAAAATAATGGGTTTGCAGAAGAAGGCTTTGAAAAATTACTTATTTCTCAACATCAGAATAAACAATTTCCTTCCATTTCTAACCTTCATACCATGTTCACGAGGCCAAGCTTCAAACCGTTATCTGGGTTAGTGTAATAGTGACATTTCCGGAAACAGTAGAGGCCGTCACGTATTGGTAAAATTTGATCCTATTTGCCAAAGTGGTTTACTTTTGATGAGTGTTACTAAAGAACTTTGCACAGTAGTAAGTCTTTGATATTCCCGTCAACAATAGGTGATTACGTAATGAAGCAAAAGTGTGAGTAACACAAAAGCGAAAGTCAGACATCTGGTTTAGACTCTAAAAACTTGAATCAGGACTACGGTTTTCAGTGTACGTGGAAGAACTGGTCTTAAAAACCCTTCCCCTTACCCAGTAGCCTACAAACAGGCCCTCATCAGTATCAGCGCCTCGGCACGAGTGTTTTCTTTACTCTCGGGAACTGCATGAGGCCTTGAATGACACTAGCCTGACTAGCCGGCAGGAGGTCTGCAAGTGGTCTAGCACTAGCTCTATAATAATTGTTAGTGCCAGACCCCCGACAAACTTCTCCCCAACTCGTCTCAAATCTTCCCGCGGGCGGAGTAACGCGCGTTCTGCAGCGCTAATGATAATGAGGATTTTCTCGAAGGCAACTTTCTGCAAAGGACTCGAGAAAACGGCGGAAGACGAAAGCCTACGAAAAGAGCGACCCCGAAGATCTGTCATAGCTTTAATCAAAGACAGTGATACTCAGATAGCCTCTTGTGACTAGAAGGAGTTTTTATACATAATTTACCCGGCATGTGTTGATTTTATGGAGTCTGGGTGGTGAACGTACACGTAAAGATCAGGAAACTGAATATATCAGCATCAGAGCAAGTCTTATCCCCTTAACTTGAGAGGGAAACTTCATGTATTCAAGACATGTGGGAATTTTTGGGGAAGTATTATATCAACCAAATATTCTCGCCGACTTGTTGTTTCAACTTTCTTTTGCTTACTTTGTTTTCTCTTCCTTTGAAAATTTGCGCGGGAAATCGGCGCGCCGGCGGCCAAAATTAATCTCTCGCACATGCCCTAAAAGTTAACCGCTGTGTTGACAGCATTATATCTTAGCAAGTCTGTCTAAATTGTGGGTTCAGTCAGGTTTTGAATCCGCAGATTGGAGGATCAAAGAAACGCTGCGGTCAAACGTCTACGCATATGCAAATGTCTTCCTATGAAATTTTGCGTGGGAAATTGGCATTCGGCCGACCTAAATCGATCCCCTTGCTTATGCCCAACGTTTGACCGCTGTGTTCTCCAAATTAAAGGTAGTCTCCCTTAAGCAATTTTAAGATTTAATGTGTCTGTCTCCCGAAAACATTGTTACTAAGGTTTGCTGCAATTCCTAGCCAGAGAACAAGCGCATGCTGTGTGGAATGTCTACGTACTAAAGCATGATTTGTAGCACAGGACGGGGTAAGCTGACGCTGGGTTACCTTGATAAGAAGCGCTGAACGGAGATTTCAGTCCATTATATCAACACTCTCATTATCCAAATTAATGACTGTACCTCGTCTGTGTTGACTGAAAGGCCAAAGCCATGATAAAAGATAAGTTTCATCCACCTCTTTCCTCTCGTGGTTTCATCACTCTGTTGCATGGCTCTGCAGCTCTAATTTTCTTTGCTCTAAAATGCTGAAAAGGCCCGTGAGCTACATAAGCTGACTGGTAACAAGAAATTTTCTACTGAACCATGGTGAATCACCCTATTCTTAACTAGACTGCACGTAAGATTTTAGTGAAAGTCGTGCAACTCGATTAAGATCGAGTGAAGGATTTTGATTAACTAATTGGAAGATTGATTGATTGATTGATGGCGTTTTGCAGAATGTGCTGTTGTCGTTGCTAAGAAGGGGGGAAATCTACAGGATATTTCATATTCAGACAGCCTCTATTAGTCTGCGTCATTTACTAACAGCCCTCCTGGCTGACAGGCCCGATAAACCCCTGGCGTGAGAATCATATTTAGTTTACTGAACCATCGAGATCATAACGAGAAGCCGATGAACGGTCAAAGGATCCATTCAGCAGTCTGTACATTTGCTAAGTGCGAACAAATATTTCCGCGCAGCAGCAGTATCTAGACACCAGAGCCTTACACACCTAAGACTATATATAATCGTAATTTACAGTCTGTCGTTGCGCGGAATTTCCTAAAGGGCTAGGGTTTGTACCTACTAAAGCAGTTATCTCAAGTCCTAGAAAACGCTCTAGGAAATAACTACAAACAAAATTGTAACTCAGGGATCGTATCTTAACTTTTTATTTTGTGAAAATAATTTCTTCATATCAATCATACATAACAACGCACAGCAACACAGTGCGTTCCATACACAGCAAAAGGTTTGGAAAACCCAAGAGTCGAGTGAAAAAGCGTAAAACACCACAAGCAAATTAGTGTCTCAATGTGAAAAAATAAAGTTGAGAGAAATCTGGGAAGGCGACACAAGTCAAGAGAGATAAGTAAGGAGAAAGAATTATCCACGACTACATTGGAACCATGGAGTTGATCAATATCATGTAAGTATCATATTTATAATCACAAATGATTGTTTCTTTGTTATTAGAAAATTATCTTTGAGACAATACGCTTCGCAATTTCACTTTAGGTAGTTGGATTTTTAAGCCCCATTTGCAACTCAATTCTGAGTGCATATCGCACGCTTAGGAGAATCATTTTTTCGTTGACTTTCTAAACCATATCGTCCTTTCATCAACACACAATTTCTCGCACAAGTCTCACATAGCACTGGAACCTTTCCGTCAAGGGCTGAAGTACTTAAGTACCAAGGACCTTGAGAAAACCATGGCAACGACTGAAATTATTTAAGGACCGGAGGGGTAGGAGCCCGCAGTATTTTGGGTGGGTCACATCATCATTAGAAAGGGGGGGGGGGAAAGACAGTCGTTCTTAACAGAGTATAAAAAGGGAGGGAATGCTATAGAAAGTTGACTGCCAGTGGGGGGGGGGGAAGGGGAGGGGGGGAAATCATTCGAATACTACAGAGCCTTAAGGGGGGAATCAGGTAAATTTCATTGTGACACAACCAAAATCCTCCTACCCCTCTCGGCGATAATAGTTCTCAGTCCTTTTGTCGATTGTCCACAAGAGCCTTTCAAGCTCGGAGGGTGCGTTGAATATTTCGGTTTGGTACATTTCGCTGTCCACCTTAGGAAAACAAAGGCAACAAACAGTGCTCAAAATCTGTCGATTTCTTGAGAACGCGAGGAGCGCAAACGATATCATCACATCGAAAGTTGGCTGAAATGCTCCAATGAAATAACTATCAAGAAAATGAGTTGCTCGTCAGACTATCCACAGTCTCATTTTCAGACGATCTTGTGCAGGGAACAGAGTCTATTGAAGGTCTTCTGTGTCTTTCGTGGGGAAGAGGTTGCCGCATATTGGCAAGCTTTTGAGTTTGCAGTTTCACACAGTCCAAAATTTCTCGCCCTCGTTGGGTCAGGAATTGAAAATGTCCCTCGCCTGTTTTACAGCCCCTAAAAACAGATCACAAGAAAAGCTAGTCAATCTGTTGAATAAGATAACTGTGAGAAGCGCTCTTATAGATCAAGTTACCGATATATCTTTCTAGTAGCAGGTTAAGGTATTCGGTCATTTTGCCCAAGAGACGGGCTGCCCTTTGATATGGATTGATTTGCCCACAGTCGATTTAGTTGCGGATTTCGCACTTTGCTGCGTGTCCTATTAAATGCAATCTCAAATCTCGCGCAGGACGTGGATTACAACAGCATGCGAGGAGGCGCCGTAGGATTCGCATTTCTTCGCCTGCGAGAAGATTCGAGAAGGGTTGGGGAGAGGTTTTTCGGGGGTCTAACATTCTCAGTGCCAGACCCCTTGCAGATTTACTCAAGGCCTCGTACTTTCCCGCGGGCGTAGAAAAGCTCATGCCCCCGTCGAAGCACTGTTAATGAGGGCTATAAGAAACTGGACACAAGTCGAATGAAGACCAAAGGCAGAGCTAGATCGCGATGGGAAATGACTTGAATTGTGGATTTCATCAACTGGATTCGTTCTTTGAAAAACAAACAAACAAAAAAAAAGCACCGACGGGAGTCTCATTTAATAATGTCATTTGACAAAATAATTCACAATTATTCACCGAAGTGGGGTAGATATCCACCACTTTCACCGATACTGAGGTGAACAATTGTTTTAGTATTTACTACACAAGAAACCAAAAAATTAGTTTATTTCTGACATTATGCCAATAAATGGTAGGAAATTAAACTCTTGACTCGCGGTTTGTTTCTTCCGCTGCTTTGAGGTGGATAATGCTTGCTTATCACGTCCGAACTAGCCAATCAGCTCTCGCGAAAAGAATTATTCACCTAAGTGGCATATACTAATGAAGGGTAATATAGGATTATCAACTGAATTGATAACGGAAATTGGCTATCGAAAAGAGTTTAAAAGCTGACGTTTCGAGCGTTAGCCCTTTGTCACTCCAACGCTCTGACTAAGGACTAATGGTCGAAACGTCTGCTTTTAAACTCTTTACGGTGGCCAATTTACGCTATCAACTCAGTTGATAATACTAAATTAACCTATTATATTCTCCCACCGACGCAGCACCACAGTTTCTTTAGAAACTTACTCCCTCTATCCTAATGAAGGTTAACCAGCCAAAGAGGTAGGCAAGTGAACTAACTTCAAACGAGGGCATATTGACCAGGAATGACGAGGCAGTAAAAATTTGAGTAACCGACATAGCAAGTGTAAAAGATAACATCAGAACTTTGTCTTGACTGTGCTCATGAGAGCCAGCGAGCAAGTTCTCGTTTATACCGCTGCGGCATGAGTTGTGAGGCTTCTGGGTTTCGAGCCAGTAAACGAAACGCAAGCTAGAGCCCGCGAGCAGGCTAATATTTTCCAGTGTGTAATCAATCCTTTGCTAGTGCACGTATATAAGACAAAAGCAAGGCTCATTCTACATCTTAAAATCAAAACACTTCAATAAATATGGAACAGAAGTTCATGAAGGAAAACAAAACGGAGCCGCGAATCAGATTTCAAAAGGCCGACATATCGAGCGCTAGTTTTTTGTCGGAACATTCTGATGCGACCAAAAATTAGCGCTTGACTTCTAGTTTAACGTCAACCAAGTGCTAGCTAATTATAAACTTGCCCGCTGACGCAGCAGAAAAGTTTCTCAACAAACCAATGACTTTATTTTCTTACCTTCCCGCTTGAAATGTTAAAACTTTGTCTAAATCTTGAAGATGTGACAGTCTTTGCAGTCGAAATCGTGGAAGATGATCTAGTTCCCATTCTAAAACTCTTTCTCCTGTTTTTGCGCTATGAAGGCATAAGTATTCCTTACGAACTGTCATAAGATAGTTTCCTGTAAGTTCAAGTCTATCAGAATCCTCTGTAGGAATTACATTTACCTCATAAAGCCCTGAAAAGAAAGGGTAATTATTTCAATAAATTTTCAGTTAGATCCTGAAAATGTCTCTTAATCACATAAAGATTAAGGTCAGTCAAGTGTCTGTGAACAAATAATTCTTGGCTTGTGTCAAGCAGCGTTTCCTCTCGACCAAGGTACTCCTCAGATATGTTAAAAAATTGGCAAACAAACCCTTTGAAAATAGCAATACTCAACTAATGTGTAACAAATTCTAGTAAATGTGTCTCTAAGTTTGGTATCTGACATATCTCTTGGCCGGGTGGTACCAGCCACAAACTATTTCATAATATCTCTCAACTCTTTTGATATGTCGTCACAGCACACGAGTATATTTGAAGGAGGTTCTGGCTCGCAGACTTAATCCACGGCGATATCAACACAAAGAATTCAGACAATAATCTAGATCACTTGAAGAAAGGTCTTGAATGTCAAAGGATTACTATTTGTGTGCATTCCATTTTGTCAGCATTGATGTCTTAAATGCGATAATCGTTCACCTCAGAAGGGCAAATATAAGTACCCATACAAATTTGTACTGAAGCCAGACAGTAATTGTCTCTTTAGAGCACCGGTAAAAAGGGGGAATTAAGGATGGATAACCAAACTAACAGGGTTCTCATGTAACCGAAAAAAAAAGGAAAAAAAAAGCAGCTTGAGCTGTCAAAATTCAGACAGAAAATGCTGTGTAGTAATTGAATTCTCTGATCTTCAATACTCAATACAGGGGTCTTGTTTAAAATTTAATAATGACAGCAAAATTGCCAAGGCAACCTCTCATTTCCTCAAACTGTTGATTGGCTTTAATAAGCTGCATATGCAGTAGGTTAGGCAATCTACAAAACCTTGAATGAAAACTGACTAATATTTTCAAATAAAAGAAAACATTAAGAGTGAAATCCTACAGTACAATCCCCGAATGTACATATATAGCAGTTTTTACCAAACTTTTTTTAATGCAAGGAGGAAGGAGGAGAAAGATGGAATACGTGCTAGACAGAAGGGCTTTTTAAGAATCTGAAGCTACAAGCAGGTTTATTTAGGATGGGAGTTATAGAGAAGGACATTGGCTTATTAGAGCATTAACAATGTATTCATGTGCATTCATGAACAAATCTGACAGAAACAGGTCATACAGTGATTTCAAACTCCAGAATCTTCCCACATGGAGCCAGTCCTGCACCCTCCCATTACCCCTCTTTAGTAGGAGAATTTTAAGTTACATCTAAAACCAAATCCGCTAAATTTTTTCCAGTATCCCTCATTTCAAATTGCATCAAAAAATTAATGATAATACTCCCCTGCCTCTTTTGAAAGTACCAACACACCAGTTTTCAATTATTCCTACTACTGTGAGCATTTTCTTCTGAAATTACAAATACTTCTAACTGGAAAATGCCAAATTCTTTAAACAGATACTAAAAGATAAAAAATGGCCTGACAAAACTTCATGTCAGAAAGAGGGTCAACTTATAAGAGACTCCTTTGCCAAGATTTCTCCATTCTCAGGGGCTTAGATCAAGTGGGCATGGTTGTATTGTAATTGACAAACAAGCCCAGATAAGGGAATCAGTCTGGTGGCTCATGCAATAATTCTTGATGTCCCTTCACAACATGCTTTTTATCAAGCCAGTTGATTAGAACATCCATGAGATAGTCAAGCTGAAACAAGAGCCTTCAGGCATCTTTTGCCTCCTTCAAGTCACACAAAAGCAAAGGTTAAATAGTATTAACACTCACCATAAATATCACCAGCTTGAACAGAGGGATACAGCTTTGGTTCTGGGAGTACAAGTTCTTTAATAAGCTGAATCCACTCAAGTGACTCTTTTTCAGTATCCGCACTCAGAAAAAGTTTGATTTCCATACCCACGAGTAAAAAACTGTGATTATGTGTCCTTGAATGAGCATGCGAGACAGATGTTAAATCTTCCAGTGAAATACTTGTACGATGTCTACCCTCAGAGCATGCTTTCTCTGTTAGATAATACTCTAAACGAGGTTGTCCCCGCGGAGATTTCCTTCGCAGAACAAACCATTTTCTTTTCCAAATCTAAACAAAGCAGAAATACATCAAATTTTACAGATCATCTCATTTTTCCAAGACTTACCATTTTCTTGTTATCCAGCTTTCAAATACCAAAAATAAAGATGATGGCATGAAAACAATAACAACAATATTTACCCATATAGAGGTAGATAATTGTCTTAGACCAATACAAACTGGTTAAGATTATACCAAAAGAAAATTTTGTCAAATCTCAAGATTTTTAAAATCTTACCTCCACCAAATAGCTCATCGATGCTCATAAAGTAGAAAGATCCATTGCACTTCTTGAAAGCAGAAAAAAACTTTGCGGAGCACTTAAAAGTTGTTCTTATGTCACTTCTTTAATATATATCACCTTTTCAAAACAATGTGATCTCAAAGAATTTAAAACAAGTTGACCTCACTTTAATGTATTAGCCAAAGAATAATAGAGAGCTTTAACAAGATAAGAATCCAAAACACTGCCCAAGATCTATCTTAACAAATTGAAGCAGAAAATCATAAATTGCTGGCAAAGACATTTCTGTTGCAAGGGTTTGAGATATGAAAGATAAAGGAAATCTACTTTTCCTCATTCCTCTTATATCACATACAGATGTTTGAAATGTGCAAAAAGCAAGGTGCGTGACCTGACTTGGCAAAAGAGAATTAAAAAAAAAAGGGTGGGTAGATAAGAAAGGATTACCCTCAGTGAAGACATTCAAAGGAGATGGACAACTGCAGAACTGCATTTCACAAGCTACATGTATGTAATTGCACGCCTTGAAAAACTTAGACCACTTTTTTAAATTTTAGTTTTTGTGTCCCAAGGGGTCTCTGCTACATTAACCGCTTCCATTTTTTTCTATACTGCTGCACTTTTGATTTGAGATTTTACCATACCTCTATGCAGTTGCTGAGAATGTTTTTGATCTGCGATATCCAGACAGTAAACCTTAAAATGATGCAAATGTTTGTATCATACCCATTTCTCAAGATTTTACTGGTTGCTTATCCTAAAACGCTGTTCTTAGGTTATCATGCTTGTGTTCAAAATCAAGATGTTAATAAATTCTAAAATGTTTTGAACAATAAAAAAGAAAGAAATGACACAGGATCGACTGGTTAGTTGGCTTAGGTCTGCACGACACAGGATCGACTGGTTAGTTGGCTTAGGTCTGCATGACACAGGATCGACTGGTTAGTTGGCTTAGGTCTGCACAACTCAGGATCGACTGATTAGTTGGCTTAGGTCTGCACGACTCAGGATCGACTGGTTAGTTGGCTTAGGTCTGCACGACACAGGATCGACTGGTTAGTTGGCTTAGGTCTGCACTACAATTCCTTAGGTTTAAACTTCAAACTCTGGCTTCCAGCTGCTAATTTACAGCGACTTCTGGAGATGAAGCCTTAGACCACACATACTCTCAGACTGATGAAGGCAAGTTAGCTGTAAGACAGCAAGGGATTAGAAACAGATAGAAAGAAAAGAGAAAAATACCACACCGTATCTAATGGCGCTGGTAGGTGGGAACCAATTTTATAAAACCCCTTAGGGCCACGTGAAGACGAAAGATCCATAAATTCTTTTTACAAACTAATCAGTTTCCCCAATAATAATTGTTTTGCTGTTTTTTCCATATTGTTAATATAATCTGTGAGCCTGATTAGTTCCACTGAGAGTCAAATTTACACCAATCAAATATCTTGGGATATCAGACAATCCAACCTGCTTGAACTACAGATGTCAGATTGGTCTCATACAAAGCAATAATCATGTGCATGCATGGCAGCTTGCCAACCTTGTAATAGCTGCCAGCTGTAGGATGAAAAACATTAAAATAACACCTGCCGATAACCTGTCCACAGTAAACAACAACTTGACTGAACTACCAATGGGAGAGATACAATTTTCAACCAAAGATGTTGTTCCTCTGCACCTTTAATTCAATTAATTATGTCAATTTAAGGTTGAAGTACAAATTTTTTTTTACTTTTTTTTTCGCGGCTGACTTCTGGTGCATTTTTTTGTGAATTTCTATGCGAAGAATTTTGAACCTCTTCAAGTTGACATTTCCAAGTTTATAAGCATCTAAGTCTTGTCAGCCCTCAGTGTGTGACAATGTAAATATGTCAAGAGGACATATTGGTTGTTATTATTTTCAACCTTAAAAAATAAGAATTAAAATCTGGAAGCTTTTGACTGATCAACAACTCTTCTTCTAAAGGATAAAGTCTTGTTTGAAAGAACAAGGCATGCGACGTTAAATGATACCAACTTATTGCCATCACATAACATGCTTTCTATAAATATTGCATTTAGTGTTGTTCTGTTTGTTCAAAGTTGTTTTGTTGCCCCCCACCAATTAAAGGATATTACACATGTAATACAATTTCACTTCTGCGCAAATTTTTAGACATTAAAAACCGACCAGGAGAGCCATGGTTGTTTACAATGATATGCAATTACCAAATACTTTTTTCACTATCTAATGTTTTTCGCTCTTCTTTGAGACAAAAAAAAAATGATAGAGCTGACGGTAAATAACAAATGAGGCACTTGAATCCCGTTTCTTGAATTTTATCACAATACAAAAGATATGTTTCCGCTGCAATGCAAGCTTCAATTTACTTCGTGTGCATAAGATTCAAGCAGAGGTGCTTCTTGTACGTAATACAGGGATTACTCCAGAAGGCCAATATGCGTTAAGTGTACTCTACTTTTTCGGTGTTTACGCGTTCCATAGGTAATTCGCTCTTAGCTATTGTTCAAAATCACATGCATATTTCATCTCCAACGATAATGTCAGTTGCAGGTTTTCTCGACACAATAAGAAAAACAACTTTAATAGCAAACGGCTAGCCGTTGTAATAGCATTAGTCTGCTCCATCTTTAAAGACATAACGTTTCTTTTCCTTGCCAAGAATGTTTTGATATCGTTCCACGTTGAGGCCGGCGACCTGTGACAGCTTAGATGGATAATTTTATCTGTTGACACTTGTGTACAAAGACGGGCCAAAACTCATCGCTTTTGAAACGGCGGAAGGAAGAAAACGAATCCATGTGCCACAAACGTGAAAAAACTAAGGGGGTTTGACTGATTGTTCTTTACGACAGCAGACACATCGTTAACGCATCAATTTCATAGCTATTTCATTTGATTTTTAATTCATGCACGAAATGAAATTGATAATTTTGCTGTCAAAAAATTCTCAAGAAACCTCTTTTTGTCCGCACGAATTTCAAATCGTTTCATTTTCGAGCTTAGACAAAAGTACACTTAACCAATCAAACGAAAAACTAGCACTATTAGGTTTCAAATGGCGATGAATTTACAATACTTTTCCTAGCAGCTGAACAACTTGTTTACTAAAGTAAGGTTTCGAATGAGGGTTTGAAAATGTCGCCGAATTTGGCAATTCCTGCTCCTGCTTAATGACAAGTATTCATCTGTGTGTTCTGGTTATTAAACTGAAATAGTATTCAATCAGATGTGGCGAAGAAAACAGAATATATCTCACACAAATCAGAGTAAACACTACTATTAGTTATGCAGTCATTATTCACCCCATACGTGCACAGAATATATTAAAATACTCGTTTGACTTCTTGTTAAAAAGCTCAGTTAGCAGATACTTTAAGGAGAATAAGAAATCACAATCAAAGTCAGACTTGCCTTGTGTGTGAGCTTTCTCTGTTTCCGCGGAAGCTTCATTTCAAGAAACCCGCACTTTACCAAATCCTCGACGTAACTTGCCATGGTCACTTTCATCTTCCAAAATATTTCACACACGCGTCCAAGAAAACGAAAAAAAGTAACACAAATAATCTCAGCGATTCAGTCCGCTTGAGTCAGGATATATGGTGCTGTTAGTGAAACATCGCTTTCCACGCTGTACCGGTCGAAACCTTTTGAAAATTACACTAGTTGTTTGTCATCGATTCGCGCTATTGTTTTTCAACCTCGCAGGCTATTTGTCGTGTTGTGAGGGCAGTGTAGACGCTCGTTCCAGTGCTTCGGCGCGCCAACAGATAGCAACAAGCCGTCACGCTGAATCATTCAGGAAAAATTTCAGCACGTTTGCAATAATTAATAAAAAAAACAACAATATCTACTACGATTGATATTCTTTGTTCGACAGACAGAATATCACACTGTCTGACTGCCGAAATTTTCAATTGAAAATCACGCGATGAACCGTGTGCTACAGGGTTTTTACATCATCAGTGTAATATATTTAATGTGGTAGAGCACGATCAAGCGCGTTTGAACAACTCAAAAGTGCATGGTAAAAGCCTACTTAAATATCTCCGGTTTCTATTTTCATGCTCTCGTGTTTCAACTATGTAACTTTAACATTTGCCCGAGGCGTAAGGTAACCACTCCCATATAATTGCTGTTCTTTGCAAAACAAGTAAGTTTCTAATCGAAAACAATTGTATTGTTTGTACTGCAAGATAGTAAACTTTCTGCGGTGAATGCTGCTGATCTCAACATCTTACTCCTGCAGAACTGCTTGCGTACACCGACATACTGTCTTCAGGCTTTTGTTCAGTCTGGTTCTAATTTACGAGATCGACCAAAGTCCGCGGAATATCAAAACAAATCTGTCCGCACGCTAGCAAGTTTGTTTTTGAAGCATAATACTATAAAATTGTGCAGTTCGAGCTTTCTCTAACTTTCAGTTGCATTTGTTTGGCTCAGGCTTTTAATAACGGAGTTTTAGAGAGAGCCAATGAAATTCGCTGAAGCAAGCGAAGGCTTAATCTTTAGTTTGCGTGTGACGATAGAAGGACGTTGCGGAAGTGACATCTACAAAAACATGTGGCCTTAAAAACAACTTGACTTCGTTCAAAACAAAGTACTTGAGGTTTAAATTATTTTGTTCTAGACTGGGAAATAATTTCACGGGCTGTTGAGGAAAACAGGGCTTCATGGGTATTAAACTTTCCACGTTATCACTTCGCTGAAAGCCGCGTCTTCAACAATTATTCGTCGCGGAAAAGTGAAGTAAAATTAACAATTGGCTAATAAATGCGAAATTTATGAAGTCCTACGAGAAACAACAAGTCTAGGAAATCAGCTAATCTTTAATTCATAACATGTCCAGATGGGTCCATGTAATAGCTTTGTTTTCAGGGGAATTGAGTGTTTTGAAATATAGTTTCTGCTAAGGGCATGACTCAGCTTTAGGCCAATGATGCGTCACGAGACGAAGAAATATTATTGCGCTATTTTTAACGTATTTAATATGAAGCAAGTGTGATATAACTCGAGTTCATAAGTGAAAACGCATGATATTGAAAGAAAATAGCCGCAATTTTAACCTTTGACCATAAAAAGGCATCAACGACGTGGTGATATTGCAAAATAAAATTGTTTGATGCTGATACTGCACACACAAACATTAATTGAATATACTACACGGCAAAATTCCGGAATTTAAACGCTGAAAAACACTTCCTGTAAGGCTAGAGCGCTCTTGAATTATACTTTCCTTCGTTTGAATCCATATTTGTTGCTATATATGGACAAAACCCTTCACATGAGCAACTTTTCTGGAAAGGGATCGAAGGAAAGATCTTTCACTTCGGCGCCGTCGGGGCGTAACGCTAGGCCAAGATTTGTGACTGTTTGCTTTCTTTTAATTTTTTGTTTCCCAAAAATTTTTTCCTCCGACTCTAATTTAAGATAACTTGTTTTTGGCCCGTGTACGATTCATGGTAACCGATTGGGTTCAAAGACCGCCCTTAGACGAGGCCCGGGCTAAGATTTTTGGGTATATAGCTGTTAATTTGTCAACAAGTCACGTGAAATAAGTGTGAACCAGAGTTAACAAAAAATTTGCCCATTTTTTTGCGCAGAAACAAAATTTCGCCAAATTTCAAAGGAGCCGAGATCTTGCCTCGGAGGCTTCCAAATTTTGGCAAATCAAGCAATCATGCTGTTCTATCCATTCAACTTTCGAACTTTAGAGAGCATATCGGGAAACTGTCAGTGAAAAGCGGAAGCTAGCCACAGAAAAGCCCACTAATAGTGCACCCACGATACTGAGAACGCTGTTGTTTTTTTTAAAGCCAAGAAACTATAATCTTTGCTAACAAGGCTACTGAAGTAAACTTTCACAACAGTCGAAAGCGACATAAATACGATTCATTCTTGCCTAATTTTTACCTCGAAAAATGTTTTAGCTCCTCCAAAGCGTTTGCTTCTGAGATTGACATATCTGCCCATATCAGCAAATTTTGGTTAAAAGCTACAGATCTCGTGCGTCCACCTTTTGAAATTGTGAATTTAATATTCTGCGATTTTTTTCCTCGCGAAAAATTAAAAATATTTGAATTCGTTCCAATGCAGCCCAGCCCTTGCTTCAGCCTTTTTTTTTGATAACAGAAAACTGCCACATGCAGTCAGTTAGACCACTTAAATAGCCAAGTGAAGGTAACGTCGCATTATTTCCTCTTGATCACACAGGAACCTTCACAAAATTACAGACCAACGATTGACTAAGCGACGAGTAAGGCCTGGACCACACTAATCCTCTTCTTGAGAATCTGTCTGAGTTTCAACCAACAAAAAGAAGCAAATTTTTTTTAACCACGGTGAAGTTCATTGTTTTGCTCTTAAATGTCCACAGTAGCGCGTTTTTGAAAACGCGCATGTTTTAATACGTCAGTTTTCGCCTATCGTTCAACGAAACCCAAGATGATGTTGATAGGAAGCGAAAAATCATCTTTTTAAAAAGCCACCGCTTTTATTATTTGTCCACACTAGAAACGAAGCATTTTAAAAACGATTAGTTTTATTGAAAGAACTCAACTTTTGAAACCTTTCTCCGAAGTCTCCTTTTTAATCAGATTTGTCGGGTGTTTTAGTCAAAATGACTGGCAAAAATACAACCGAAAAGTGACACTTTGTTGCAGTGTCTGTCATATCTCTTTCATTTCCATAACAATATATGTGGGAACAATCTAGCAAACACGCATTTTGCTAAAGCAGAAGACATTTCAATTCACTTTTCTACGATCTTTAAGATAAAAAAAACGAGGCATTAACCCTAGGTTTTAAAGCTGTGCAGGAAAAAATTTTTACAACGTCCAGTTACGACCTTTAGATACCTAAACATCAACAGCCTAGCCTTGTTCCATACAAAACAAAATGTTTGAAAATAAACTAGGATACAAGCCCAACGAAAAAGATAACGTTGCTGCTGGCTGATTTTTACTTGCTGGCAAATGCTAAATGCAGTAAGATTTATCTCCTTTTTCTTGCAATTTTTACGACAAAAATGTCAGTATTATTGTACCTTTTCATCAAACGAGGTAATTTAACTATATTGGGGAAGATTACTCTAAATGAAAGAATGAATAAATATATTGTGGCAATCGTTTGGCTGTTACACTCAAGCCAAATCGATGGTATTTTGCGAATTGAATAATTTGCAACTTTGCCAGGCAAAAATGGTTTAGTCTATCTTAGTCACCGTAATGGACAAGATGGATATTTACGATCACCCGTATCACAATTTTTTGCGATAACGCGCTCTACTTAAAGGGAGCACAATTTAAGAGACTCTCCAACCTTCGAAGAATTGAAAATAAACATATGGATAGAAGCTACTGACAGTTTGTAATAATACAGTTCTTTCATCGAGGACGTTCATAAAGCCTAAATGATTAGTATATCAATAAAGCTGAAATTAATTTTTCCCTACGCCTACATGGACAAAAACAAAACTGTAGGGCCCTTAAATTGAAGGAGCAAAAAAGAACGAAATGAAGTAGAGTAAAAAGCGACACAAAATTATTCATGGTTAGAAAGAAAATTTTGGTTTGTTCCGTGAAACATTTTCCAATTTCGCTTTTTAATCTCTTGGTATCTTTCTTTATACCGACTCACATGTCTTCCTGAACACCTGCCCAACGTGGGCGAGACCTGAGGGGAAGTATCTAAAAAATAAGTATTTACTGAGCGCCCACGAAACCCTGAAGTATGCCAATAAAATATGGCAATTTGAAAAATTAGAAAGCGCATGCAAAAATACATCACACCAACTTCCGAAACCACCCCGTGCATTTCAGTCTCCCTACTAACCAATTTAAAGTTCGTAAGTACGCGTGAACATGCGAAACTTTTACCCAAAAAAACGTATGGCACGTATCTCTCAAATTTGAGTTCAACAACTGCAGCCTTATGAACATAAAAACATACGAAACTAAATGACATTTTTACACCACGGATTTACGATCCAACTATTTCTAGGCTCATGAGAAAAAAGCAGAATTGTCCTCTTTTCAACGCAGCGAAACTTTTGGTTTCGCAAATACTTAGAAAAAAGACGCAAAAATGGCGACATAGAATTGCACGAGCGAGAAGTTGTACTTGACGCCTCATGCCCGTAATTAATTTCTCACCATTTTACGGTATATTGAAAGAAATAAACTAAGTTTTTGGTATCAGCGTGGTTTACACTAAAAAATTTATTCACCAAAGTGTCGGTGAAAGTGGTGGATATTTATCTCCACTTTGGTGAGTAATTGTTAAATATGGTTTGCTTTGAAGTTAAGCGTAGAGTTATTAAAAAGAACTAAATTTCACGACGCTTGGCCTAGCTCCACTCTTATATCGGGTTCTTCGTTTAAATCAGCTGCAGCGTCCTTAAAAATTTCTACAGTTGGTTTATCAAAGTTTGTAAGACGCACGAGATTAACAGAGCTCTTGGGCTCAGCGCGGAAGAATTCCAACACAGCCGAGAACAGAATCTTCGCGCATCGTGCCTTAGGAAATCCAAAAATACCGCTACTAATGGCGGGGACAGCTACACTGCTCAGAAGCCTTGAATGACACTCGGACAAAGAGTTGTACATGGCTGAGTGAAGACTGCTGTCTTCATCTTTTTGCCCTCCCATCCAAACCGGACCTAAAAATAAGAAAAAAAATGATAACAGTATCAATCAAGAATGATAACGAAGTATAAAAACACTTATAACATTTGATAACAATGATGATGATAATAATCCGGCGGTTGAAAAAAAAAAAAAATTGCGCAGACCTGTCAAGTACGTCACGTCACAGTCTCAGCCGTCGACTCGGGGATATGAGCAAAAGAAGCGCAGAAGGTTAGCAACTATCAGGACCTTGTAGGAGAACTTCACAATAAAGAAAACTAGAACGAGGGTTCTCCCAGTGGTAATGGAGACCCAAGGATCCGTAACCGACAGTAACTTAAAAAGACATTTTCGTTTACATTGAACGCAAGGTCTAAAGCAAGTTTTAAGAATGTAATAGTTTTTCCAGTGAGTTTCCTGTTGTCATATTTTGATTACACAGCATTCTTTGAACACAAAAATTCATTTTAAGCAGATTTAAATTTACGATTTGCAATCTACAGTTTAAACCTATTTTATAGTGTAAAATCGACCCCAAACAGTTTCAAAGAAGGTGTCTTTAAGTTTAAGGGGAATTTCTTTCACACCTTTCTCAAGGGAATGAATGAAATTTTGAAAGCATTACTTAAACATAGAGTTGGTGTTTACATATAATCCCACTGTTTTGAACTCACCTTAACTTGAAATAAATAAATCAACACTCCATTCCAAGCATACAACTAAACTTTTTAATTACTTGTTTATTTATCTTTTTATTTTTCTTCCCTCCATTTCAAAAATCATAACCTTTGAATAATTACAACATGATAAAGAAAATGGAGACGGGAAAAAGCAATACATATTTAAACATATGTATACAACTGAACTTACCTACTGCATGGATTAAAATACTACATGGAAGACTTCCAGGTCTGGTAACAGCAATCCCTCCGGTCTTTATGGGACCATATTTAGCTACATATTCATCACTTTCGTTTTGAATTTGATCTCCACCATTTTTAACAATTGCTCCAGCTACCTGGCACAATGAGAGGGTCATTGACACTTATCATTAAGAAGTGAATTACAGTAGTTTTACAAACTGTATGGCTAAATGAATTCTGGGTAAAGTGGGAGTGACATAGCTTATTTAAGGCCTGAGGGGAGGTGGAGGGAGTGGAGAAGTGGGAATTAATGAAATTATATCTACAGATGTCCAGGCGGAGTCTCTAGTTCCAAACCTGTAGCCTTTGGAGGCTGTCAGAATAGAAAAAACACATTTTAGACCATTTTCAAACATTCAAGAAATCTTGGTAACATTAATATGAAAACACTTTTTACATATTGGAATTAAGGGAATTCGTAAAATTAACCTCCACTTTCATCTCTGCATTCTTTACTTAACTACTGCAACCAATGGTTCATTTGGTCTGATGAAGGGCTAATGCTCAAACAGCAGATTTTAAACTCTATATGGTGGCCAATTTACATTATCAACTCGGTTGATAAAACAAAAATTGTCTTGTTACACTCCCCCCCCCCAATGCAGCACCACAGTTTCTTTAGAAACTTACCCCATTTACAGTAACAATGAATTGATCAACAACTTACTCCTCCACCATGTTTCAACCAGGAGTTTGCAGCATTCACAATTGCATCCACGTTTTCCTTTGTCAAGTCATTCTGTACAACTAAGGGAAGACCAAAACAGAGAAATTATTCACAATGATATCTAATGCCCAATTTTATTATGCAATTTCAACTGTAGCTTTAAATGTGGATGCAATCCAAACAGAACAAGTTTCTTACCTTCAATCTTTTTGGTTACGTTTTTGTCAGGTACATTGAATATCACTGTTGCATGGACGGTGCCCTAAGAATTGTTTAACAAGTTAAATACTGCATATATTTTAGAGCAGAGGAGAGTGAGAACATTATTTTCTAATCTGCACCCTACTCCCACTCCTACTTCCCTTTGAGAATGATAGGTTGTAAACGGGTTCACAGTTTATTGTCACAGACACTGCTTCTGACATAAAATTCACATTTCCAAAAGGCCTGCAAAAATCAAAGAAGAAAACAACAGTGCTGCAGTTTTGCTTGGAAGCTTTCTGGCCACACACAATTCTCTGTTCTTGTTCTCACACATTGTGAACAAATAGGTCAATGAGAGAATTCAATAATTGGTCAGTTAGTTCAAAATGATTGGCACACTACTAAACATTGTGTACCAAAAACCCAGCAGACAACTATAACTGAATAGTCCCTTATATTTCATAACCAATTTGCATTTAATGACTTCTTCTTCCTTAAGTTAAGGTAATGTCCAAATTCTGACCAAAGGTACTTCTCTCATTAACATGCCACTGTGATATTGTGATTGGAAGGACCACACAAATTATTGACAATTACTGGGCAAGCAGATCAGTAGTATGCAGTGGCTGAAGGTTGAAGCATCTGATTGATAAGTAGCTGGTAAGTTTGCCCAGATGCAAGCTTGCCCCTGACCACTTTTTTGAATTCATCCCTTAACTTAAAACAAGTTTGCTCCAACCTTGAGCAGTTTGTTCCCAAATCATTCAACTTGATAACCTTGTTTTTAAGACTGATAGGAATTTTCAAGTAATTCAGTCTTTTCATATTGGCCACCAAAATATTATGATTGTAACAGGCAGGGAAATGAATTATAAGATTTTGGGCAAACTTGTTTTATGTTAGGGGAGGAGAACTACAGCTGTCATTTACGTTCACACAAAGTTAACGTAATTTCAGTTGAAATATCTCAACTCATACTCGGAGAGGGACCCTGGTGAGTTAACGAATGACATAGAACAATGAAAGCATCAGAGTCAAAATAATAGAGCTGAGTGAAATGATTATGACAAAATAGAGAAAACATCCAGTATAAAACCGCGGTGAACCCAATATTTTGACTTACCCCCGTTAGACACCTGGCCAAATAGCTGCCATTGCCTCTATTTACAGCTCTGACAAGATACCAATGTGCACTGGAGAACAACATGTCACATAGCTGCAGCGTCTCCAGAGGGGATTTTCGCAGGTGAAAAAGCTAATGCGATGCAATTGCAAAATTCTTTCAAGTTTGCAGCATCCTTAAGTTTGAGACGCGTTTGGAGAAGAACAAAGCTCATTAGAGCCCTCGAACTTTCTGTTCAGCAACACCCCAATGAGTGAATCGTTTCTACTGGATAAAGGTCACGAAATATTAATATCATTTTATCGTAATTTTTTCCTCTGACAATAAATCACTCGCCTTTCAAAAATGCAATTTCTGGCTGTCCAAATCTTAATTTTTTTACTCAGAGCAAAATTGATGAATTATATTTTTGTTTTTTCTCTTATCTGAAAATGATCCCATTCTGTGCGAAGGTTCGTTCGAGTTATTCCGAGCTTCGTTTGAAATGCACATTTTTTAGCAACGGACTTAATAAGTCTGCAGGTCATAACATATTTCATCCAATCTCCTACTTTGTGCATAAATTCTTAAATACAGCAATATTCTGCGTATTTTCGAACGAATTGATGATTGCTCGTGTGACAGGCTCACCGGATGTTGCGTGACAATAAAAGAAATGCCACCTCACAAAGACCCTTCTGTGAAGCTCCGCTCGTTAATACCAGTGCAGCCATCAGAAAGTGTTCGACCTCCACGGCCATGTATCTTCTACTGGCCTCGACTTTACTGTGCTTATGCTTCACTTCATCCAGTGCAGCACAATCACGTTATCGACAGCGAATTCTTGTTCTCGGAGGTGACGGAATGCTAGGAAGCGAGACGGTGGCTCGGTTGAAGCTGAGAGGACACGACATCACAATCGCGCATCGAGGGACGTGGTACTGGGACTCTGCTCTTAGAATCAAACCTTGGGTCAAATTCGTGCCGTGCGATCGAGCTAAGTTTAACGATTGCGCTGAAAGACTTGGAGATGTTACACAAGAGAAAGGCATGTTTGATGCGGTGTTCGACTTTAGTGGTTACAGACCTAGTGATATTAAGGTAAACAGTCACCCTTTGTTACAATGTAATATCGATGTTTATTGTCAACAATTTGTTTGTTTGTAAACGCAACGTAACCTGTCGGTGTGTTCTACGGGTCTTTACGGAGTGCGTTCGTCTACGATAGCGTAAATGTAACGTTAATGAAATTTAAAAAATTCAACGAGTTAAGGCCTTGTATTCTTATCCTTTATAATCCGTGCAAGCGCTCGTGTCAGAATTCACGCACATAAACGATACATGGCTCTTACAGGAGTGCATTTCTTTGTCACATTTCACTGTGATCTGTTACAGCTACCGTTGCGTGACAACTTCCACGCGGCCGAACATTAAGGTAACAGAATCGGTGAATCAAAGTGCTTTTAACAGAAATCATGCGCATGTGTGAAGCTTGGCGCTTGTTAAAACGAACTCAGTGAAATTAGACGTTAAAAAAATTTAAGATTCCAGGTAACGAATGTTTACTGAAATGATATCAAATGGATGTCTCTCTACAGTATTCTTGATTGTGAATCAATCCGTCCTTGTTAAAGAGCTCTTTTCGGCAAGCACTAACTAATACACTTAATTCAGCTACGCCCAGTTGGGCACGGTAAAGATTGAAGATTGGGGCAATTATATGGAAAAGGTTTGTGTCCTCCCCCCCTACACTTCCCACCTTCGTGGATTTCGACTTTCTTAGATTTTGTTTAACATCCTCAGGATTTTATGCTCAAGATGCGTAGCAGGATTCGTCGTTACATTTACATCAGCACTGATTCTGTGTATGAGGTTTGCGAGGAACCTTCCCACGAGGGACCCACGCGTGAGGACGATGCCAAGCGCCCAGAGGATCCGAAGACAAGGGAGGCCTATAGTCAGAAGGACCCTTATGGAAGTGCAAAGTTGGAGTGTGAGTATAGTTAACCTGCTTACTATTTCAAGCATCTTTTTGAGTACAAGTCTTATTCTTAAAAAAAGCAAAAAGAACTGATTGGTCAGTTTTCTATGATATTACTGACTTCTCTTCCCTCTTAAAATAAAGGTTATATAGCTTACGCAAATTGTTATCGGTTAGTTTCGATCTGTTAAGTCGATTTGTTGGCTATAACAATGTCGTCAACCGTTTGCACAATTGCCTATTGTTATGGAAACTTGCTGAGAGTCGTCTGTACTAAATCTGTGAACCCAATTTGCAAAGTAAACCTTGCCGGCGAGCCAGCCGCCATTGTGAACGTTAAAGGACGTGCGTTTCTCCGCCTGCGGGAAGATTTGAGACGAATCGGGTAGAAGCTCGCTGAGGGTCTGGCACTATCAGTACGGAACCCCTACAGGACGTCTCTATGGCTCGCGTTGCTCACAGCCTCGTACTTTCCCGCAGGCGAAGAAACGCTTGTGCCAAAGCGCTGACAATAAGAGTCTGCTCGCTGGCTTAGTCAACCTTAAATGTTTCGCATCAGTAGGCTTCTCAATTATAACCCTCAGACTCAAAAGCCAGACGTAGCTATGATTTTTTAAAGAGAGAGGTGGGGTATTGGTTACGAATCTTCGCGTGCTGTATTCATGTGGAAAATAAGATCTGCCATAGAGTATCTGGAAAAGATTTGTGCGGAACAGATTCTTCGAATTCGCGCGTTTTTATCATGTGAAATATATATTTGTATGTACTTAAAAAAGTGTCCTAATGTGCGAGCAGGCCTTCATCAAAAGCGCTTCGGTACAAATGTTTCTTCGCGAGCTAGAAAGTTTGACAGCACCGCGCGCAAGCCGGCGCGCGGTCTCATTAACCTTCCTGCATGCACATAATTCCCCTAACTACGTCTCTATAAGCTCAAAGTATTGTCTGAACGCAGACGAATTTGTCTCCTAGGTGAAGAGGTTCTCAGAAGAGAACACGAACTATGGAACATTCCTTTTATGATTATTCGCCTTCCTGACGTCATTGGAATGCGAGACAACACCGATCGCTTCTGGCGCTATCTCCTTTGGATGCGTTTCCACGACATCTTTGACAAACCTTTAGAACTGCCAAAGAGTCTTCAAAACAAGCCGCTCAGTTTCGTCTTTGCCGAAGATGTCGCAAATCTCTTGATTGTCCTACCTGAGTACGACGAGAACGTATACAACTTCGCTTACAACCTTGCCTTCCGCGAGACTGCAACGCTGGAGGAATTTCTCCAAATTACGGCGAAGCATCTTGGTGTTTCTGACGTAAAATTTGACAAGTCTAGCGAGCGAGGAACGTATTATTACCCCTCGGTGACGCGCGGACCGGTAGATATTAATATGGCGTGGAATTATCTTCGCTGGAATCCGCACACACTCGACAAAGCTATTATGAAGACAGTTCAATTTTACGAGTACGCGATGCGTTCAGAAGATTTTAAAGAGAAAAGAAAGGCAATCCTGGACAGTTTGCCTGTACCTGGTCATGCCATGGAAGCATTTAAACAACGGCTAAAAGAGGTCTACGGCTTGGACTACAATAGACCAGCAGATGTCAAGGACGAGTTATAACCATTAAAGTGCCTACGGAATCCTACTCTAGGGAGTTTTCTATGTGACAGATTTAACAGCACGCAATTATGTGTAGCACCACTTTCCAAGCATAAGCTGTTGCGCTAGTCGACGCCCACGCCGCTACGTGCATTAATGATAATTTAAGGCTGTATGCAGAGGTGTATGTTCTGTTGAAAGGCTGAACAGAAGTAGTAAAAGATTTTTACGGCAGGTAACTCCCTGTAACAAACTGGATATCTCTATTTTATTGGAACCACTTAGTCTAACTCCAGACTTTAAGATACAATGGCCGGTAATATAAGTTTGCTATCCTTATTTTTTTATAACAAGTGCAGAAGGTTCGACTTAAACTTGAATTATTTGAGAACGATTACACAAAAAGAAAGTCGATGAACAAGCACAGGTACGAAATTACATAACGAACCGCTTAGATCAGAACAACCGGAACTACCGTTTAACTATGAGATAAATCTTCCGCTTTATCAATTTAATCGAACACAAAATTTGAACAGTAATGTGATCAATTCTGACAATAAAAGGGCCAAGTTACACTATGTTAAGGCAACTTTTCCGTCACTAACAATTGAACCTAGTAAGCTGAAGGAGATTAGGAAATGTTTGTGTACTGGTGTACACCAACAAAAAAAAAAACGAATCAACAAGAGAGAAAAAGGGGAGTTCGAGAATGGAAAAAAAATCAACCCGGATTCTAAGTGACGAACTACCAAAAAAAATTATCAAGTTTTGGAGAATCATAGAGCGCAACATAGCCCTCGTACAGCGGCAAACTGTTCCTGCATATATAAATTTCTATCTTTGCTTATTTACAGCATGTGCCCTTCCATTATGTGAAGTGCGTTTCGCATAGGCTTCTAGGAAAAGGGTGCTACATCTCCATAGCAAAAAGGTCAACAATTATCTTTTTGAATCGTTGATGCCTCAAATTAAGTAAAAAATGACAAATAAAAGTGATCCATGGAAATGAATAGCGATAGACTGGGCGAGACCTGTCAACCTTGGAAGGCGCCTGCGCTTTCATTACTGCCACTAACTTGTAGGACAGCGTTGAATAAGGTTCTCGTCCACTCCGATTAGCTTTATGTCAAGAAGAAACAGCACCAGCCGTTTGAACATAACAATCTCATTTCCATGGGCACTGTTCAAATTAACTTTAAATTAAGATTAAACAAAAAATGTCGTCCAAACTGACAAATCTATTGACACTTTAGAGAAGCATTTCAACACCCATCCTAAACTTAAAAAAAATCTAACACAACCAGAGTTCGTAAAAAGGAATAATGGCGTTAAACTAAGCGACCGCGTTCTTATTGTTGTTATAAATACAGGACAAGATGATTTTTTTGGCCCTAATATAAGCGCCGTTGGTGAAATCTCTACCCAAAGCTCTCAGTATATATATTAAAAATCTCAGAAGGTTAGCGCAGCATTCATTTCATTACAAAAGCTTTAGAGCTCTATTAATGGAAACATTATGCAAACTATTAACATGATAACTTTTTAAAACGCGCCGCACGTCTTTAAATACTATAAAACCTTTAGCATGGCCGATTATGGCCAACCTAACACTTAACAATTTAACCTTTTTCTGATCACACGGTTTGACAAAAGCCCCCACCGCTTATATCTACTTACATACGTACATAGTCTCCTTAGTCCTTTTATGTAAACCATTATATGGCACCATATTGACAGCATACACGCTATCGTAAATATGGTAATTATATAATAGTCATTTCACCACCCCACTTCACTTGTTTCCGCAGCATGTGAATATCATCACCTTTCAATCACAAAGTTCACATGGCGAGATAATCAAATTGATTATTGAAGATACGGATGGCAACTTAAACGCCAAAGTAATTTTTCAGATTAAGTTAGTAGCTCTAACAGCTTCATTAATATCAAGACTGCTCGCCTTTGTCTTTCGCCTTGGCCTCGATCAGCTTTTTCTGACGCCGAATTTGTTTCTGTAGCATACTTAGCCCTTCTTCATCCGAGTGAGCGCCTTCACCCAGTTCCTGATCCTCTTTGTTCAGTTCACCATCAGAAAGTCCAGTCCTTCTCTCCGGACACGGCGGTGGAACAGATGATTTCCTTGCGGGAGGCATTGGTGCACTTCTGCTTCGCGCGGCATGACTTGCCAAAGCTGCCAGATGCGCCTGTTGAGCTGCAGACGGTCGCCCTGATACACTTTGACTCCTATTGTACGTGGACTTCGCTTTCTGCTGGGGCGCCCACCCGCCCGAGTTTTCTTGTATACTTTCCGGATTCGAGCGATGGTAACGTCCTCCATAACTAAAATATCCAGAATCGCTGCTGTTCATGCCCCCAGCCGGCACCTCGCCGTTGCCTGAATAGCTGCTTTGCGAGGAAGTCTCACTGTCGCTACGTCGATGCGCAATTCCTTGGTAGTAAGGCGACATAGCGGAAGCCGATTCACTCATACACCGTGATCGAGTGTTGCTAACAGCGTAAGGCGTGGCGTATTGAGGGCCCTGGGTATTCCTTCCTGTGGGCTCGTTGGATCTCGGGTGTTCCGCGATCGAGGAGGGAAGATATACTTGTGCAAGCGAGGCAGAAGGTGACCTTTCCCCTGAGGAAGACGAATAACACCCGGAGTCCGTGGACGTTGTCCAAGATGTTCTGTCGCCTTCAAGGAAGGAAAAGAAACCAAATGAGAAACTGCTGAGTATTACCCTGACATCTTTAATTTTACCCATAACTAATCAGTGATCCCTGCCTCCATGACGAACAAGCCACAAAAAGTCAATAAACAGCGAAAAAAAAAAAAACACCAGTCAAAAATAGAGAAACCCTCGGTTTTTTTGGCTCTCTTTCGTACCTGGCCCTGGTACGACTCCCAATGGACCCGCTCTCTATCCTTGGCTCAAAGGACACAGAAACTACCTTTACTTGGGATACTTGACAGGTTTCTCTGGTAGTTTGCTGGTACAGAGTTTTATTCCTCGGCAGAGAGAGCTGGAACGCTTAAAACCTTCGAAGTTTGTAGTCCTTGTAAATACAACACAAGATTGACAACCGAACCTTTCGTTGCAGTGTCTATCATCAACCAATCGAGTTTGACAAAAACAATTACAATACTTGACTTGCCTGGATGGGGTAAGGTGGGCACTGCTCCAGGAAAGGGTGGAGGGGGTAATGGTTCGCTCTGCAAGTCTCCCGAGTAACCGGGCGATAGCAGCGGGGTTGGCGGCTGCGGGAAGCTCTCGATGGACGGCGACCCAATAGACGAGCCTAAAGATGACATTGAAGAGTGCGAGGAGGTCGAAGAAACACTAAAACTGGTAGAGCGTGCGCAGATCCGCGGAGGCGCGACTTTCTTAGGAGAGGTGGTGGGTGTCACCGATCCAATGACCTTGTTCCGCGTTTGAGTGTGTTTGACGGAGAATGAATAATGCCGGCTGAAAGCGTTGTAGTAGGGGTCCGTTTCCGAGGGAGGCGGCGGAGGAGGGGTAGTAGGGGGGTCCCGGCCGGTATGCAGCGGACTTGCAGCTCTCGTCAGAGTTGCTGTTGGACTCGGTGGAGGAGACTTAAGTTTAAAATAAAAGAGGAGAAAAATGAATTACAACATGATGTGAGAAAAGTTAGGATAATGAAAATTATATTAAGGTGGTAAGTTTCTAAAGAAACTGTGGTGCTGCGCCGGTGGGAGATTATAACAGAGTAATACAGTACTAACAACTTTGCTTAGCATTTACTCTGACGAAGGGCTGACACTCGAAACGTCAGCTTTGAAACTATTTACGGTGGCCTATATATGTTATCAACTCAGTTGATAATACTAAATTATGATTTTACATTACTGTTACAGTACAATAAAATATTTACCTATTATCCTTAATTTGATTATTATTATTTACAATTTACTATTTATTATTAACGGATCATGTTACTGACCCCAACAGACAAGTTGTTCAATTTTCATCAGAAGTTGCTTGGATGGTTAGCTGGTATTGCAAGAAGAAACTACGTGTTCATCACTTCAGGGGGTTCACCTACTCAGCGAAATGCTGAGCGCAAGCCGGTGTTATCAACTATAGACTATAAGGGTCTACAGTATGACTGGCAGGCATTTGGTTCTCCGCGAATGTGCAGCAGGCATTAAATTTTGATTTTCTCATTTGATTATATGGTATAATAGTCTACGCGAGGGTAGCCCCGCAAAGGACTATTCTCGGTGGCAGTGACTGGATATTTTTCAACTTGAGCGGAAGTGATAATCAGATTTAAAACTTAATCGCCGCTTATTTTACCTGATCATCGTAATTATGATGATCCGACAATCTGAATTCTCGCACCAGATCCTCTCCCGCTGGTGGCAGAACGGTGGGATTTTTTGTTTGTCTAACGATGTCCTCGAGAACAGACTGAAGGTGTTCTAGTTCCCCTAACATGGACATCTCGTGCTCCTAAAAGAGAACAAAACCATATTACATTAATTTGCCCTAACGTAAAACATGATCAACCATAAAAGTAGTTGGAATAAAGTTTGCATTTAAAATAGCAGCTTTGCGGCCAAAATCCTTCGCTACTTGTTGCTATCTGTTCTCAACTTTTGTGGGCAAATAAGAGTTTAAATCTCCTGATTCTTTCCAATTATGTGTTAACAGCGAAACATGTCAAAACATGTTTCGTGTAAGATGCCAGTAAGTCACTAAACACTTTTCCACCACAATAATTTTTTTCCCAAACCCGTTCATGGCCCATGCGCAGACGTTCCAGAACTTACCATGAAACGCGCTCAACTTTGGTTATTTTCAACTTTGTAGTTGACCGAAAGCATAATTTCGGCGTTCATTTTTGGTGCATTTACAAGTCAAACAAGGAAACAAAGATGATTTGCTTTTCTATGGCCTAATAATCGGACCTACCACAACTGGCCTAAAACAAGTTGACAACATGCAGTATCTGGTCCTTTCCTCAATCAACGCTCTCTGAAGGAATCGCTTTTCCTGGTCTTCAAAAAGAGCTTGTTGATAACTTGCTTGCTGTAAAATCAAGCAACAGAATTGATAAAATTCACAACACTGAAATCTGTGTTCTAGGAGAACTATGCCAAATATAAAAATTATGTGTACGAGTAGATTCTAATGAGCACTACTGAAAAACGAAAAAAGATTCAAGAGGATTCAACTCAGTGGAAATTCTATATCAAAATGCCAAAGGCACTCAATTAACCCTTTAAAAGAGAGATTGGCATCTAATTTTTCCTTGACCTATGACCCTTGAATCAAAAGTCAAGGTCACTAGAAAAAAAAGGAAACGATCACCAATTTAAGAAGCTCTTGAATGTCACACAAATTCTTCTTGTTAGTAACACAGGAAATGTAAAGAGAACAGTTTGGTGAATGGGAACGCTGATGTTGGAGTGCGCTGAGTTTAGAAGCCTAATAAAAACCAGAGATAACAATTCGTAAATATTGACACCAAATACATGCTGTATTAGTTCTAACCTTCATGGCAGCATCCAACTTTTCTTGGTGCTCTGATTTTCCTAATAGAACAAAGAAAACCAGGAGAAAAAGAAAAAAATTAGTGATCATCAAAATTGAGAGAAAATTACTTATCAGCAATTAAGAGTGACAGCCGTGGACTGAAAAATCTTCTGTTCTTTCTGTGACAAAGAGTGCTGAGGACCAAAAGAAAGAGCTGGCACTTGACGAACTTTGTGACTTACTAAGCAAGGATTTGTAAATCACCCTCTAATGGTCAACTTGACTTATGGCCAGAAAGCTATCCTCCAAGGGTGTGTCCTTTGCTTGAATACTTTAAGACACTAAACTGAATTCAAAGGCTTTGCTCACCTAACTCACCTTTTTTAACCTTCTTTTGCCATTTACTTGTCTCTGCTGTGGCCTTTTTTAGTTCCTGTTTGGCTTTCTTATATTCTTAAAAAATAAAAACCACATAAAAATTAAAAGAGAATCCATCAAAGACTGTGCAAAGCCAGTCTGTCAGTAAGTGAAATAGGGACACTAGTGTAACTAACAAGATAAAGAAATTCTAATAGTAGTGGGATGTCTTGATGGCAAGTCATTTCAGCACGTTATGGAAAGCAGAATAATATATCTCTTTAACAAACTATATTGGGAGCATTAAATATTAAACAATTATTTTGTAGAGTTTTAGGGAAAAAACTACCTTTTGCATGATCTTTGTCCGTCTGCACAACAGACTTTTTCCAATCATCCAGCCTCTCTTGCAGAGGGAATATCAGTGACTCATTTAGCAATCTGAAAATGTCATCAAAAATGGATAATAAATCAGTGAACTTCATATTGAAATTTATCCTTGCAAGTCTTTGACTTTTAAGAGACAAGTCACCATTAAAAATCTAAGCCCAATTGTGAGGCCACTCTGAATTGTATGACACTTTCAATCTGAATGACTTGAAAAATCCATAACCTAAGTGATACGTAAGTCACAGGAGTCTCAGGGAGTCTATGTTCATCCTTACATGAGATACAAAGCTACAAAGCTGAGCTGCTCCTGACTTAAGTTAAAAATCTCTTATGTTCCATGTATTTCCTATGAACATACCCAGCAAATCCTTTGAGTTTACCATCCACACTGCGATGTCTTATCACCATTTTAGTGAGAGAGCCACCAATGTCTTTGCAGCATCCTAGCACACAATAATTGATGATTAATAATTGTTATTGATCAGTGAAATCAGTCCACTAATTATAAAAAATAAGTCGATGACAATATCCAAAGATTGGTCTTGTCCATGAACCACGGACAAAATTTTTTAATAACAGGGAAAGTAAGAACTATCTACATGCACTCCTATATCATTCTTTACAGATCCCAACCAACTTGTGAAAATTTTGAGATCACAGCAATGCTAACATTTCCTGAAAATTTCAGGCCCAGAATATTGGTAATCCTTGTCTGATGAAATGTATTAAGCTTGAAATTCTATAAACAAAGCACTTTAACAACATGGATATTTTGCATTTTTTGCTCAATAACATTTCACTGGGTATAAGGCACATTAGGAGCTGAAAATTTTGTTCACTTAACACAATTCTGATCCATACAAGTTCATACATGTATGCTACTGGCAAATAAGGGCAACGACAAAGATTTGCCCACTGTTCTCTGGAGATTTTGCAGTTACCAGCCATCAAATTTTTTTTAATAGTAGCAGGCAGTATACAAGTCAGTGCTCTTAAGAACATAAGCACCTATTACTTTCACATCTATTCCACTTGGTTTAACTGATTGCTTTCTTTTCAGTTTTTATCGATATTTTTTGGTACTACACAGAGAAAGCAAAGACTAAAGTTATTTCTGATAAAGACTGGTCTTTGACTATTTTGTTTTGATGAAGTAACTGGTGCTTCAAAAACAAGAAGCAGACAAAAAGGTGGCCGCTGGTGCTTCTGGAAAACACTGTTTGCCTAGATTAATGTATAAGACACCAAACAAATGGGTTGTCAATCATCTTAGCTCCATTAAGTGACCACAAGTCTAGCATTCCATGTAAAGGTTTTTAAGTAACACAAACTATTTCTATCCAAGCTGGAGCCAAGGCAATTGAATACAAAGCTGAAATTCTTAAATTTGCTTGCAAAATAAGGTGTAGAAGAACACTTCAGTGACTTAAACGACAAATAAAAAAAATCTCTTCCATACCTTACGCATAGTATGCATGACTAAAACCATACATATTGTTATCATTACAATGAACATTTCTTAAACAATTTTGCCATAATAAAGAAAATTTAATTACGAACACAGGAACAAATCCTTTCTGAAGGTTTTTCTGCTTTCATTCAACATGGTGATAACAAGATTAAATATAGGGGAAAATTGTGTACAGGCTGTAATTAATAGTTTTTCAGTTACCCACTGGCCAGTCACATTGTGAAGATAAAAAAGGACATTCTTTTTCAATTTGCAGAATGACTCATGTGAAACCAATTTTTGGTCTAAAAATATAATTTTTAACAGTGTAATTAAAACTGACAGCAATAATTTATGATTGGCAAAGTGCTCCAGTCATCATCAGTGAACTGGAAAGGAATGTACTATGATGACATCATTTTAAAATTTTAAAGCCAGAGACAGGAACAAAGAAACATTTACATAGAATGACATTCTTTGTTTATGTATAATAGAAATAAATAAAAAAATATTTTTTTGTTTGTGATAAGTAAAAGGAAACCCCTCCTTCCTGACTAGAAATCTTCTCTAAGAGACAAACTAGAAATATTTCTTGCAACATTGTGTAATACAGCCTAATAGCATGATTGTATCTGCATATAAGCAGCAATCTAGTTAATTCTGATGTGAATAATTGACCATTTAAACAGAAATAAACAGCATTTTTAACATTTTGTCTGGGATAATTGCTTATTTGTTGAAGCATAAGTTATCCAAGTGTGAAATTATAAATGCCCAAAATCAATATGCCTGTTTTACTCAAAGCTGAAAATGTCTCTTGATAAAAATTACACTTTGACATGACTGTCTGGCCAACTTCGTTTCAAAACATTTTTGTTTTCACAATTAATTTAGGAGGGACAAAAACAATACAGATTCAAAGGTGTGCCAGTAAATTAATGGCTCTTTAAACCTAGGACTTATCAAAAGGAAGTTGAGGTATTTAATTAAGCACAACAGCCCCATGTAGAGGAAAGGTGACATCTTGGTTAATGAGTGGATAGTCATTGCTAAAAGTAGCTATGTCTTCCAATATGGCAAGAACACTGGGTAGAAATAAAATGAGAAAGTTCTTATCTTTCAAATTTGTTTTGATCTATCTTCCTTGCATCTTCTATAAAAATTTGTGTCCCCTTAAGAACAGACAAGATACAGAGACAGCTTGATTTCTTAACTATTTCCCCACATAACAATCTTAAAAAAAAATTATGAACCGATTTGACAACAGAGTGCTTCCTTTTTTCTGTGCTTTCTAATCTTCAGTTGATAATCAAAATAATTAGTTTTTAATCCAAAATTTCACAATTTATCAAAGCTTATTTGGATATCTCACCCAAAGACAAATTTGGTGATATCATCTCAATGCACATTCTATTTTCATTTCCTCTCATACTTATGACAAACTAATTTGACATCTCTTCCAAATGTCTGCTGTTAGATACCATAGCTTGGTCAAAGATATGAAATTCCTTGCACAAACTTCACACGAAAGATATGCAGAACAGAATTTGTCCATTCCTAAATAATAAATTAATCCTTTCCTTAGCCTTTTTGTAATGTAAGTGAATCAAATTATTATTATTATTATTATTATTATTATTTTGCTGCATATGCTTTAAGGGGTATGTATTACTCTATGCCTGCCATTCGAATTTGTAACTGCTTTCATAATCCAACCATTATAAAAATTAAATTAAAAAGGTATATTTCAGTATCTGTCCTTTTTACAAATCAACATAATAACAAAATTCCCAGCAGGATGCAATACTGTTATAATTTTCCAGAGACACCCAACAGGAAAATAAATTTGGCAAAAAAATCAATCTGCTTTAGTAAACAAGTGATTGATTTAAAAGTCAAATAGAGGGGATACTTCGTTGTGTTAAAACAGACCTCCACATCTGTGCAAGTAACATTCAGAGCACCTGTACAATGCCTAAAACATTCAAAATTTCACGGTACTTACTAATATGACAATTTTATAACAAAATTGCTTGGTGTAATGTAAGTACTTTTGATAAAAAATTACGTGATATAAAATGCAGGAACTTTGGCTTGTACAAAGCATTTCCAACAACTTTAAATATCTTCTAAAAACACACAGAATAAGGAATTCACCGCAGAATCTTGAGGTCGATTAGTTACATTAACTGTTTCCGTAAGAGGAGATGATTGGTGAACACATTTCGTTCTAAAAAATCAGTATCATGGCAAAAACTTCAAATTTTGCATGATATTTTTCGCATCGAAACAAGATTTTAAAAAAAACTCGCGCAGTTGTGTTATAAATACGGAAAAAAAGATATTTGTTCTGGCAGTTTGACAATATTTAATCGGTAGAGTTTCCTTTTTGAAAAGAGACCTCCGAGCTCGGCTGTCATACATTTCCTGTTTTTGCTTCGTCTATCTGAAGTAAATCTATTCTTTGCAAAATTCTGTAGAGTGTTTTTTCAACAACGCGGATTTTCAAGACTCCATAAACTCAATTAGCACCCAGAAATACAGAACAGGTGGCACGATACAGGATTTATGACGGGAATAATGCAACGAAACCAAACCACAAATTTGAAGCAGGGAAATTGATAAGACGGCAGAAAAAATCACGATTGCTTACAGTGAAAGCATAGTAAAGAAAAAATATTTTCACACGCCGAAAGAAAGAAAAAAAAAACAAAAATTTCCCTCAGTAAACACAAGCAAATATCGTACAAATTTAAATGGCGCAGAACAAAATTGCGCGGTAAAATACGATTTTTCTCGCGCCAAAATTTTTAACGGACCATGGCTTGAAGCTGTACTCTCAGATATTTTTTTCGAGCAAACAGCTGAAGCTATGGTGATAATTTCAAGTACGAATTTCCTGAACGTCGCTGGTTTATTTCAAGTTTGCAACGTCGCCATAACCGTGTCATATTTCTCAACTGAACAACAACAAAGCAATCGTTGTAGGCGCAAACGTCCTCAATTGTATTCATTCTTGGTTTTTCATTTCAAATTCACTGGATCGCTTATTCGTAGAGCCAATAACTCTGTTTAGTGCAATTCAACATCAACTTTGCCTGATATCCAGTCATTTTACCTATCTAAGAAGCAGAACTAAACAACATGCCGTCGCATTTCTTTGAATTATAATAAAATTATAAAAGGATTTGTAAATTCCCTTATCGATCGCGTTTTCGTGGAGGATTTCAGAGAATACTAGATCAAAACTTTCCGCGCACTCAAAATTTAACTATTGAGTGTTCTTCAAAGAGAAAATGGCTCACTAGCCAAACACGAACACGAAATTCTTTCACAAAAAGTAAACCTTGCCAAAATAAACAACGACTAAAAATATCTTGAGCTCAGACTGTGACCCAATGAACCCAAACCGTAGTGACATGGTTCACTACAACATGTGCTTTTGACTTATGTAGTTTTTCATTTTGGAAAAAAATTCAGAGAAAATATCTTGTTGAAAAGCTTCTTGAATACCTTGGCAGAGTTCTTTCTGAATAACTAAGGTTCTAAAGCAAATGAAAGTTTAAGTATACGCGGCAAAATGAGAGTATAGTGTAAGAGAGGTAAACTGACCTCGTGATGAATTCGCCAGATCCGCAATTCGCTGAAAAGCGTCCAAAAAAGCGTCAGCAGCTACAACTGTTGCCCTGAACAAATAAATATCAAAACCAATAACCCTCTTTATTCCTTAAGGCAAAAAGATGAGTGATCTAAATGTAGATAAAAAAAAAAATCACTCCAAATTATACGAGACGTACTTGAGCGCCGAGTGTAGTTTACTTGCTTTGCCGACGAAATCTTCCCAAACAGGGGCGCTAGACTGGATGAAATTGAAATATTAAAACTGAGCTTGTCTAGGAGAATTAAGCATCAAAATAAGTTTTCAAGATCAGAGAGAATTCTCACCTTTAAATCGTTCAGTATCAAGTGAATCAAGTTGCCTTCGCTGTCCGCGTTGTCGCCCATAATTATGGCGGTTGTAGTTGGCTTTCGATCCTCTTCTACCCTCACGTTTTCAACATGAGTTCACTGAAGTCTCCCAATCTTTACCTTGGAATTCCAGGATTCCTTTCGTAGCGTAGGGGTATAGGAGTGTCAGTTTTCACGTAGTGTACAAGGATATCCCACTAAACGTACGGAAGCAGAACTATTTCTTTTCTACAAAGGGAAAATACACCTTTCGATTAATCCCACACACATCACAGTCTGTGATCAAGTCACGTGACATGTTATCACAGACTTAATTTACATACAACAAAAGACGCGGTCGATGGCAAATTAAAACAAATTTCTACTTGGTAGTATCATCAATTAACAAATTTACGCTCAGAACAGGAAATAATATTCATCGAAAAACGTCCCGAAGTGTCGCTTTGCGTCGCTCAATTGAGGTTTTTACAAAAGATCGAGACACGCAACGATCGATAAATGATGTTGGAATGATATCCGATAAATCATACGCATTAAATTTAGTAACGTTGAAATATAGAACCCAAGGCTTCAATAAGCCGAGTATTTCAGGAATATGTATTAAATTTAGACTATCTAGATTACGATGAGGAGAAAAATTTGCGTCTTTAGAGAGATGTCAAAACCACAAACTTAAACAAAGGCGAGCATGGCAGCTTGAGGGCTTACATTATATTTCTCTAAAAACACGAGCCCAAACTTATCAAAACTACATACCTCATGGCAATTATTGGCAAAAGAATTATGCGCAGTAATTTTTGAGACCCATATTATCGATACATAAGTAAGATGAACGAATGAAATACCTCGACGTTCCACTTATCAAACGCGCGCATCTTGAAAATGTATCTGGGAACTTCATTTGCCAAGAATTATCTGCCGGTGAATCATATCAACAAAAAATATCTGAAGTTTGTCGTTCTTTGAGGACTTGAACAAAGTGACTAAAAACATATGGCGGCAGAATCTTTTAGCGATATGTCACCAGGTTGTAAACTCACATAGCCGGCAAATCAACATCGGGAATTTGATCGAAAACAGATCGGGAAAGGAATGAAAAATGTTGACTTCCCTCGCCTTTTGGCACCTCCATTTCATTTAAAGGTATTTTTGTCACCGTTCAGAACGGAGATTAGCACCTTGATTCTTGGTGCTAAAAAGAAAATTAAGAAGCTTTTCAATATGATGATCAGGTTCAATTCAGTGATCACTTACAACTGAGATGAATTCACACTCACTGTACTTCTCGATCCAGTCTTTCCAGTTTCCTGTGTAACAATCGTCACCCACAAGTTTCTCTTCCAATTTTTCTAATATTCTGTTTCCTTAGACTGTTTCACGTCAGAGAGATAAAAACACACTTAAAGCGTGTTTTCTAGAAAAAGTACTTCGTAAATAAGTGCGGTTTGAATCTCCGACTAAGTTGTGGTTTTAGACAAGATTAACGATTAAAGGCCGCCGTAAATTACTTATTCAGAATTTTGCCAATTAAGAGGTCATCATCGAAATTCTTAATGACATAAAACGGCTCGACTTTTCTTATGGAAAGACAGCTTTTGTCCAAGTAAAGGAATACCAAGGTCCATATGTGCAATTCATATTGCCTTTGAGGGAAAAACGTCTCGGAAATGGGTACTTGAAGTAAGTACTGCTAGTAGTGTCTCAACTGTGATGTAACGGGAAAAGCAATGAAGTGGTTCTGGAAGACTCGGCTTTCAAAGAACTTGTCCAATCAGTTTGGAAACTGAGTAAAGTAGAAGTATGCAGTAGGAAAAAAGGAAGCTGATAGGATAAAAACAAGGAATGTGACAAACTTTTTTGAGCCAGAGTATTGATATTGAACCGAGTAACATCTGTTATATGTTTCTTTAACAAGATAGTCGTTACATATGGAGCGACGAGCGTTTGATTATGCAACGGAATGGAAAATCACGAGAACTCGTAAGTGTATCAAGATGCAGTCAATATTTGTGCAGTTTTAGGTGTTGATTTTCATGGATGTAGGAAAGGACAAGGAGAGCAACAAACGCGGTTGACCACACTGGTGGAAGGCGAGCTGAGTCTCGTGCACCGCGAGTCCATTACAAGTTGCTCGAATTATTTTTGGTTTGCTTATTTCTTATTCTAGGTTTTTTAGCCGTTTATAAACAAAACAGTTAAGATCAAAACATTGGCAAGAAAATCAAAGCATACATGCATATGAACAGCCCAGGCACTTTGGTTGGGTGCGTTGACGCAGCTTCATCGCAACTTTCCAAGTTCAGCTGCACTGTTCGAAGAGCGTCACTCTCGGGCTGTATGACTATTTCGATGTATCCGCGTGTAAAACCTCTCATGTAAGTAAATCATTGAGGATAAGCTTAAATTTGATAGTACTCAACAAGGCATTTTTTTCCATAACAACGCAGCCGTAGACTCCGAAACAATAAAACGCATCTCACGTTAAAATTCAACTTTGTTTCGGGTTGGAAAACGAGAGATACTTATCTGAAAACTCTAACAAGAAGCAGATATGTTTGAAATGCTTTTAGAAAAAAGTGTAGCACAATTTCACAAGTCTGAAAAGCCTTTGACGCAGTAAGCTGATGGGCTGATAACTTTCCGATGAAGGTGGGAGAATTCGTGGTCAATAGATGAAGAGATCGGCCAGTTATCACCATAAACTGCCAAGCCAAGCAGTGAGAAGTGGTCTTGCTCATCGAGAAAAATAATGATTTCTTCGCTTATACTAAGTAGTGGTTTATAAACTTATATAAATTATGCGCTAATTCTGAACAATTTTTGTTGAGAGACAGCAACAGAGGTGGACTCTTTATGCGTTTCAGTTTTCGGCTGCAAGTCTCAAGCGCCCGATATCATTTTCAAATTTTACGGTTTTTTACCCGTACATCGTAATGTCACTTTTTTAAGAATCAAGTCGGTAGAACTGACTTCTACTCATTCGGAAAATTCAGCTATATTTTTAGTCTCCTTTCCTCTTCCTCTAGACGAAAACGAAGTTATTCGCTTTCTTTTCGACGTCATTATGAAAATAGACCAGGACTTGAATTCCCTCGCTGTTTTCTTGTTGAAAGTACACCGTCTTGGTACAAATGCGAAATACTTTTCGTAATGTCATAAAAAAAGGCTCATCCCAACAATTTTCAATTCTTTTGTTCCCTTGGTAAAATTTTTGATCAGAAAAAACCGCAATACTTCGCCTCAAAGGAAGTAGTTTAAATGTTTGGCACGCCCGCAAAGATTATATTGAATAGGGGCCATCATCGTACTTGAAACACCCGCCGTGTTGTCTGAGAACCCTGAATTTGCTAAAGGGAATCGTGCCGTAATGCAATTACTTTATAGATACGCGATTCTAGTCGACTATCAGTAATACAGATCTAAACACAAACAAACAACTACTCGACCTAACAATTGTATGAGCTTGAACTAACAGACGTCAAAAAGCAATTTGGAAACCAACATAGTATATATTGAAAAAAATTACAGCCAAAAAATGAACAATTGATAAATGTAGAAAAATCTGGAGGAAAGAACAGCTTATCAAAGGAATGTTAAACATACCGAAAATGCCAGTATAAGGAACAGAGCATTGTCAGACCTAATAAATAAAGTGCGCAAGTTTGTAACTCGATCACCGTAGCTCGAAATCGTAATAAGCTAAGAAACCGACAAATTCTCGATCAAGAATTCTACACACATGTAGAAATAACGATTACTAACCAGATATAACTAACATATGGAGAGCCGCAGTGTCCCGATTTCTCCGGCAGCTGTCATTCGAATTCTCAAAACTTTTGTTTTGGTTTCGAGTGAGTAAGTATTAATATTAGGAAGATCAGCTCTAGTTCGTCATACGGGACATCGCACACGACGTCATGAGACAACTGTCACGATCCAGCGGAAGTAACGTGACGTTACATGTGAGTGTTGAATGAAAGTGTCACGTTACAACAGAGTGACTGAATCAGGAAGAGACGTGTCATGGCGAAGTTGACCTCCATTTTACAAACGACAACAAAACACAATATACAAGCTAATAACGAAGAAATTTGACGGGTACAAGTGCTGACAAAACTACGATTAAGAATCCTGGAACGGACTGTCAATTGGGTAACGGAATAAATCTACACGTAAAATTCAGTTAGTCCAAAGATGCGACAAACGAGATCTCAGGTGAGAATTCGAAGCGCTTTCTAACCTATCTTTAATCGATTCTATGTCACTTTGGCTGGTATAGCCTTCCTCCAGATAATCCTTAGAGCTATGACGCAATTTGTCCTTCTCTAAAAACCAGAACTAAGCCAGTTTTCATATCTGATTTGACTTCCTTATCTTCCGGCCGTAAGTTGCGCTTGCCTCGTGGATGTTTTTGTGCCGAAGAAAACGTATAATTTGAGTTTCCACTCTCTAAATTAGGCGCAATTCACTCTGACGTTGACATCATTGACAAAAGCAAAAGTACACATGTCAATAAAGTTTATGTCTCGAAGAAATCTTCGAAATAACAAAACATGCCTGAATTGGGGGCGAGTCAACGTTCCTACTCAGAAAGACTTCGCACTAAATCAAGAGGGAAAAACTTAATTCACGCTTACCTGAAAGAGTCACCGCAAGATCTGAAAGACAAGCTATGCTCAAACCGGTATATAAAAAAATGCATGTATCACTTCACACGCTGAGACCAGTTTTGCGCGTGGCAAAACAAAACATTCAGTCTTTGTCAGTAGACAGACTGCTTTAAGCAGTTTTCCCGTGGGCGAAAACTAAAGCAGTGAAGTGGCTGCCAAAGAAACACATGATTACCTTTTAAACGCGTGACTGGCGAAGATGTTGTGTGAAGTTCCCACGCTTAGAGAAGGTTTTCGATAAGAATTTAATATCGGTTGATTTTAATATGAGAGTACCTTTCGTTTCAAAAATTTGACCCTCTTTCTCGATGTCGGTTAAACATCAGTCGTATTTGTTTCATTCCGCGTGGGTTGGCAGTTTGAAGTACCTGGCATTATTTTTGTTAATGACCTATGCGCGTAAACTTCTTAGTATGAATCGAGTAATTTTCCGATCCCAGTCTTTCACGCCTCTCTCCGGAAACTCGAGTATTTGATTTATTTTTAATATAAAAAAACTCCTCTTCCTTGAACCGGTCGTAATAAAAGCGAAAAGAGAGGAAAATGTTAAAAAAAAGTCA